TAAAAAAAATACGAAAGACATTTAAATAAAACAAAACAATTCAATTAAAAAACACAAGAAATCAATTAATGCAATTTAACTTCTATAATTAAACAATTAAATCAATTGAAGAAGTAAAAGAATTAAACAATTAATCAAATAAACAAATAGGCACACAAAATACAAGAAAACAATAATTAAAATACCGAGACTATCGTTTTAAAATTAAGGGTATTACACTTAGTGTCATCTTGAGTGCTCGGGGATGGTTTCTGAGACTCTTTTCCTTGGATTGACGACTTCCTTCGAGACCGAGTCATTTTCACATTTTCACTCTTATGATACTATTCACTTTTCGTCTCTTTCTCGTTGTCACTTTGTTGGCACAACTTCACTTTTCGTGTTCGGATTTGATTTCGGTTTTGCATGCATCCACGATATTTAAATTCCATACTATGTGTATTTTTACTTTTGTAGAAAAGTATGTTAATTGCTTACTTTTACGTAAAGGGCATAAATGCATAGTTTTTTCGAAAATATTCTTGATTTTTGGGGTTTTAGTGTAATTATGTAAAGTAATTATTTTTCGTCTTAAGGACCATTTTGCAATTTAATTTGAAAGATATTTTCAAAAATGACCATTTTGCAATTAAGTTTGCAAGATATTTAGAAGAGGGACCCCTTTGCAAATACTTTTGGGTTATTTTTGGATTATGGTTTTAAAAAAGGGTTTTTGTGCAATTGACCAAAGTTGTGTATATAGACCATGGTGCTAGCTCACATGGTGAGTGGAGGATCTCTATATCCTTCACTCACATTTCATCTCCTTCACATTTCATCATCCTCTCTCTTGTAAATAAAACCCTAGCCTCCATGGATGAAGCTTAAAGTCTTAAACTTTGACCTTGATTTTTGAGAGTCTTCTATTGATTTCCAAGCTTAATCTTGGGAATACTTTTTGTTCCCCTCATCATCCTCTTCGTAACTCTTGAAGGGTTTGTCATTTTGTGTTGATTTGCCCTGGATTATAGAGAGACACTTCTCTAGTGAGGTAAAGGGTGTTATAGTTTATTTTCTAAGTGATTTACTTGATTTTGTAATGATATATAAGTTGTATGCATGTCTTTTATTAATTTGAGAAATTAATGATTAATTGTAGCTTACATGTAACTAATTTTAGACTTGGTGTATGACATGGCCATGACTTGATCCTTGATATATATTAAATTGGGATGATTTAAATGAGTTTTCAAATCTAGAGATTTAAATGAATTTAATTTGATTTAAATTCTAGTTAATTTTGTTTTGCTTGTATTTCATTTTAGACTTGATATATGGTATGACCATGCCTTAGTGCTTGTTATATATTAATTAGGGATCATTTGAATAACTTTTGAAATATAGAGATTTAATTAATTTAAATTAATAAAATTCTATATGATGATATCTTGCTTATCTTGCACTTTTAATATGATATATGTGATGACTATGCTATGTTCTTTAACATATATTAATTTAAGGTTATTTGGAATTGATTTGAAATCTAGAGAATTTAATTATTTTTGTTTAATTAAATTCTATCTAATTGTTTCATGGATTTAATATTGTTGTGGAAGTTGTTTCTATGTTTAAATTATGGATGTTGAACTTGTTGTGTATTCACCTTGTTGTGTTTTAAGTATTGAATAACATTGTTGTTAAATTTATATTCATGAAAACTTGTTTCCAACATTGAATATATAATTGACTTGTGTAATGAATTTCACACTTTTTACTTGACATTATATATGCCATTTTAGAAGTGAAACTCTAAGACATGGATTGTATGGTTTCAACCTACTTGTGCATGTAAGGTGATTTCATGCATTATATAAATTATGTATAAGTTGTGAACTTATTTGATTTATTTTTTAGTTTTGGGACATTGTTGCAAGTGATATGGCTAGAGTTTGGCTCTAGTACGGGAGGTATGAGTTCTCCCTATTTTATAGTGCGCACTAGGGTGGTATTCCCAGTGGGTTAATGCCCGGAATAACCGTAGTTCTTGTGGCTTTTATCTAGAATTTGATGTCCAAGTCTTCCACTATTTGATTTCGCATTTAATTTCAAGTTGACAATTATGTTTAATTGTGACTTGTGGTTTTGATTATTGGCGATTTAATGTTGTTAAGTACATTTGTACATTATGATTTTTAAGAAATTATCGCATGTTTTTAATGTTGTTAAGTACGTTGTACATTACGATTTTTAATGAATCATCGCATGTTTTTAATGCTGTTAAGTACGTTGTGCATTATGATTTTTAATGAATCATTGCATATTTTTAATGTTGTTAAGTACATTTGTGCATTGTGATTTATAAGGAATCATCGCATGCCTTTGATGTTGTTAAGTACATTTATATTAAAATGTTCAAATGTAGCTTATGAATGATCTTATAGATTCATTTGGAACATAGACGTTAGGTGGCATGACCCACTTTTGTTATTTTCGTATTTTAGATTTCAAGTTGATGGCTTTGAAAATCTATATTTTGTTGCTTTATATAGCATGCTTTTATGTTGTTTGAATTGCATGAAGGATGTAATTTATGCTAAAAATGATCTAAGGTGGCTTAGGATACTCCCTGAATCTCACATTTGACTCAAACGTTAGGTGACATGATCTTTTTGAATTGTTTCACCTTAAGGTGATATTCTTGTTAAACGTTAGGTCTATGTATGCTCATTTCCTACGAGTAGCCTTATCTTGCTCACCCTAAAGTTACCGGGACATCGTGCAGGTACAAGAATCAAGGTTCGAGATTCTCGTTATGCTTTGATGATTGTAGACTTGAAAGTTTTAATTCTTGTAAAGGTTTGTTTGAAATGCCACTTGTAGCCTTTTATGTCAAAAAGTGTATTTTTGATTCTAAATATATAATGTGTACATGAGTGCACTCTTTACAATGTAATTGACATGTATGAGATGAGGCCAGAGGTCAATGACATATATTTTGTATCTATGTAATTTTTGACTTTATGAACTTTTATAAAAATATTGAAAAATGTCAAGTCATTACTTCACCATATTTGCATCGGGCGTGGGAATTCCATTTTGATTCATTCATATGGTCTCATTAATCATGCATGAAGTGTGGCTAAGGGCCAAACGGTAATTTGAAACCATTTTATAATTTTGGATTTCAAAATTTACATTTCAAGTTCATTTTTGCCTTTTTGGCCGTTGGGGGCTCGAATTTTGCATCGGCGGTATTTTTAAAACGCGGATCATTGTAGCGCGTCCTAATAGGTAAGTTACGTCTGCGTGCATTGTCATTTCTAGGAAAAAATCTTTCGTTGGTGAAATGAGCCTCTTATGGACTCATTTCACATTTAAAAAAAAAAAAAAAATCTTACTTAAGGGCATTTTGGGGATTTCCTCTAGGAAATAAATTCCGGTCTTGACTCCGTCACATAGAAAATGTGATTTCGGGGGGAGTTTCTTCACGGCGTTTTTTCGAAAAATGTCGTCTTGGTGTCGAAAATCGCGTTTCTATCTAATTTTTCTGCAATTTTACTGTTTGAGTTCAATTTTGGTTGTGTTGACCTGGTTCAAGAATTGTTGAACCTGTTCAAGGTGTCATTTTTTGTTCAACGTGACTTTCTACCAATGTTGAACCGGTTCAAGTCTTGCAGAACTTGTTTGCAGGTTTAGCTTTGGCCTTCCAACTTTGAACTATTGTAACTTCTTCATTTCAACTCCGAATTAGTCCGTTCTTTAGTCTAAACTGACCGCGTTGAAGTAAGATTTCCAATGGTACCAATTTCAGTTTCATATTCTTCTCCTAACTTAAGATATCCTTGTTTTAGTGATAGGGTGTTAGATTTGGTTCGAACCGGAATATGGTTCACTTGGGACTTCGCTTCCTTTGGCCTTGGGACTTCATGTGAAGTTACCAAATGATATTTTTGATCTCATTTGACTTGTTAGAAGTTAAATTCCTTCATCTTCGGGTAAAATGACCATTTTATCCTTGGTCATTCTTTTAGTAGGGTTTTGATACCCTTGTCTTCGTTTTGCTTCTGTTGAGTCTCGAAATTATTCGAAGGGCCATTCTTGTGTCTTAGGGATGACATACATCTCTAATTGGATCCGTTTCGGGTCATCACATGACACACTGGGTTGAAAAATATAGGGTCGTCACAGAAACGATGACATTTCATGTAAAACAAATAAATGATGTCACTTCATATGACGGTATCGGTGTACAAGCACGGACCTAGTGAAGGCCCAATGGGGTTAATTATCCCCACAATATATATATATATATTTCTATTATATACCTATTAATTTCCTTTCTCTTAATTATATACCTATAAATTTTAAAAATTAACCCCACTGAAAAAAAGAAAAAAAAAAAAAAAAAAAAACTCAACTATTGCCCTCATTCCATCAAATTTTTTTTTAATCTTCGTATCGTTAAAGGTCCGTGCTGTCTCACATGATTTGATGGGTCCATCCCTGCTAGTACAGTGTTGGCCGAGGACACTTCAACGATTACGTGAGAATTCAAAAGCAATGTATTTAATGTAAATGAAAATATTTTTCACCTACCTTATTTAATGGCCGAGGCCTTGTATTCTCGTGATCAAAATGTGAAGCTCATCTCTTGAAATTTAAATTTAAAGGCGACCATATCATTTATACACATCATTCATCGACATGAGAATAAATTTTCTAATCCGATACTATAATACTTCACCTTTTGTAAACTTGTAACTTACCTTCTTATATTTGTTTTTCTTTCTATAAATAAAATCACAAATTTTTTAATTCATACACCATCACCCCCACTGATAATTTCATTCTACATTCGTAATCAATTAAAGTGTCAATACCATATCCCATTACATTTTCACCTTTGTAATTAAAACTAAAAAACATTACATTATCACATTTGTAATTAAAACTAAATAAAACGTACCAATACTTTGCATCTAAAATATCAAGTCACATGTAAATCATCGGAACAACTTCCTACGTTATAGAAACGAGAAAAACTGAACCACAAATTACACATGAGAGCAGAGAATCCGAACCCGGATTTGTTTGCATCAGCAAATCGGATTGCATAGTGGACAACACGTCCGGAATCTTGTAATTGGGTGACAGCTTCCGGCTATATTCAGTCAAAAAGAGACAAACGATGAGAGAGAAAACTAAGTCGGCGTGCGCTCTCAGTCCACTCAAAACCCTTACCGATTATATGTCCTAACACACCTAACTTCACCTTCTTTGGTCTCCTTCAATCGATTCATCAGCTCGAGAAGTCATACCAATTCGTACCTTTGTATGCATGCGCGAGATTTATGTTATTAGGGTTTCTGGTATGTGCTAGTAATCATCGAATTTGAGGGTCTCAAATTTGATGTCTTTTGGACACTGATTATGCGATGTTGAGTTCGTTTCATCAATTTCACTACATCATTTTCTAATTGATTGGTTGTTTGGATTACAGAGCAGTGGCTAATTTGGAATCCGTGAAATGGATTTGGTGTCTAGTTGCAAGGTATGCATTATTTTAGGTACAAATCGAGGCGATGTGATTGCATTTTTGGTATTTAATTGTTAATTTTACTGAGATTATTATTTCTGTCTTAAATTTTGTTCAATTATTTGAATGACATTTGCAATGGGTTTTTTGAACCTTTATCATTCTGCAAACTGACCAAGTCGAGCTTTTTTGCTAAAAAAACTATCAGTTTGAGCTTGGTTTTTGCTTGAGTGGTGCTCAGCCAAGCATGTGTTCGGTCCGGCTGCACTGAAGTTGGCCAGGTTCGAGCTCTGCTATGGTCTGCTTGGCTCGAGTAACCAAACAAGCAAGGCAATTTAATCTACCCAAAATAGAAGTACAGGCTATTATTATTATTATTATTTTTGAATGGAGTAAAGTAAAGTCTATTTTGTTTTCTGATAAACAAGATGAATAGTGTAAAAAAGAGGTAAAAACCCACTTTTGGGTCTTATATCTTATGTTGTTTTCTTGTTTGAGAATTTCGAAGAGACCTAACCTGGCGAAGGCGAATACAGTTCAATATAGCTGGACTGGTCGAACGAGCATTATAAGTTTCAAATGAAGGATATCCCAAGTTTCGAATTTTATTTAGTTCTTCCCACATCTTCCCAGAAACCAAACAATCTATTGGGGCAAAAAAATAGGGCTACAAAACATCACTCAATTAAAGACAAGTTACTAGTCCTTAACTTTACACTGATTCTCCTGAGATGAGTTTCATCAATTGCAAAATGATTTAGGCAATAAGATTTTAGTAGTGGGCTCATGCAGGAGTCGCTTTAGTATTTTGTGGTAGAACCACTATTGTTGTTCGAACTCATCCTCCTTTCGAGTTTACTGTAGTTCACACTGACTGAAGATTGTCAAGCATGTATGCATGAAGTGCCTTTTCTTACGGTAGGTTGGACCTCTGAAATGAAATCGAGAATGCCCTAGAGAGAGAGAGTCTGAAGAATGTTTTGTTACACATGTATACAATATCCATAATGTACCCCATATTGACAAGCATACTGGAGCTGAGTTTGGGTCTGTTTAATTATGGCTCGTTAATTAAATAAGCCTGAATATGTGTGTGGTTATTGCTTGATTCTTTAACTATATGAACTGAGTTCAATTGAACCTTAATCTAGTCAAGGACGAGAGCTGTTCACAAACAGCTCAGTTCGATTGCAGCATCTTACATTTATGCGAGGTTTGTACGCTTTTTATATTACATTTATGCTAGGTTTGCATGCTTTTTATATTACATTTATGCTAGGTTTGCATGCTTTTTATTTTACATTTATGTGAAGTTTGTACACTTTTTAAGTAGCAACGAGCTTAGTTTAGCCTGCCCATTGGCTGTAGTAATCATTTCATTCAGTACCCCGTATACTTCTTTCAATGCTGTAGAAAACTCTGGTATATGATATGCTGGTGTGCAGGGACAGAGCCAGGATTTCAAGTAGGGGGGGCACAGTGCAATATATATATATATATACAAACAATTATATATATATAACACGACAAATATAAAATATAAAATAGGAAGAAAATTATTCAACCCCAAGTGGTTGGCTCAAGTGGGGTAATCAGGAAGCATTAGGTCTTAGGTTCGAATTCTCTTGAGTGCAAACAATTCCTTTTTTTGGGGGGGGGGGGGGGGGGGGGTGAGAACCAACTAGGAAAAAAAAAAGAGAAGGAAATTATTCAAATACTCAATTAAAAAGAATAATTTTAAGAAGGACAAAAAGAAAAAAGAAAGACAAACGAGAGAACTTTGAAAGTAAAATGTTAGAGTTCGATTGAGGAAGCAAAATTTACTTTTTTTAAAAGGAATTTGAAGAGTAAAAGAGAAAATAAAGAAAAAGTTTAGAAAGTAATTTTTTTTTGTTTGTTTGATTGTTTTTTTTTTTTTTTTTGGGGGGGGGGGGGGGGGGGTTCATATATATGGAAAAAAATAATAAAAATTACCACATATATTATAGAGGGTGGGGCCAGGCCAGGGGGGCACGTGCCCCCCCTAGGCCTACATTGTCTCCGTCCTTGCTGGTGTGGCTTAGTGAACTCATTCCAGGAATCAAGTATACTTCACAGATTTATAATTGCAAACCTATACACCCATTTGTTGTTGTGCTTAGGTCATCCAATATACATATCCGTATTCTGAAGCTATTTAATGAGGTAAAGTACATTTGCAGCTGTTCTACTGGTTTGAAGGATACTCATTATTTAACGAATTCCTTTAAGGTGATGGTAGGTGGTGAAAGATGGGAGTTTGCTAATATTTTGATTAGTAAACTTATTTGTTTATTTATTATTATACTAGTAAAAATTCATTAAAGAGCCCCTCAAAAGGGGCGCGAGCCCAAGAGCACAACTGCACAAGAGGCCTACAACATGCCCATTAAACTCTCAAACTATCCACAAAATTTACAAAGCCCAAGAATTTACAATCCCACCCTTGAACCCAAAAAAATAGAGAACTTAATATGGGCTGTTTTGACATATCAACCCTCCTAACACCTTACCCCACTCTCAAGATGAAACTTAAATTCGTCTCCCATCACCCCACAAAAACTTTCTTCAAAGCATTTCAATCCTCTTCACATCAGAATAGGGAATCTGGAACAATGAACGGATGTAAGTTGGAAGACTTGAAAAGGTACTCTTCATAAGAGTTTTACAGCCCACCGCCGCCCTGCCCGCCCGCGAAAGATATTGCTTCTTCCAACTTGCAAATCTCCTCTCAAACTGCTCTACAATTGAATCCCAAGAAGATACCCTCCTTGATGGCGCCTCCAAAGGTAGGCCCAAATAAGACACCGGAAAAGCCCCAACACCACACCCCAGAATATTGGGAAAATAGGTTATCTCACCACACCCTGGAATATTAGCTTTATTATTAAACTTTTAAATGCCGTTATTATTTTCTAAATGTATTTATTATTGAAATAGTTTTTCTTTTGATACTAAACAATTTTGAAAGCCAAATAATTATTGTAATTGTTCCAGGGGTGAGTCAGCTTTCAACACTTGAATAGGAAACTTACCACTTAGAGTGGGCACAAGATGAATCATATAACATGCAGTTAAAACAGCATCTTACCAGTAGTAGGTACTTTCATCTTGGCGAGAATAGCATGGGTAACATTCAGGCGTACCAGCATGGCCCTACCGATTTGTTTTCGATCGGAGCGTCAAGCAGCGCGACCTGGTTCTATTTCGCTACAAGGAGGGACTCGTAACCCTGGAGCCTTTCCCTCGACAACCGAGCTTACCCATGCTACGGTTCCCTGTGTCCGAACCCAGTGCCGCATTAGGTTAGGGAGCTGGGTGATGATAGCTCATGAGTTCAAAAGGCAATGCTGCTCTCTGGTTCAAGCTCTTCCTAGGGGTGTGATAGTGTGTATCTTTACTAAGGTTTACTGGATTCTCTGCAGTTCAACAGAAGCGAACACATAGCATTTTTTAATCATTCTTTAAAAGATATAGCAATTCCACTTTGCTATTGAATCATAGAGTATGCTGGGTTGTTTTATGTGTCCTTTTGAGATTTCTGTTTTGACCAAGGTCGGAGTAGAATGAAAGGCATTTTTTTTTTATTGGCACAATAAATAGATTTAGCATTATATTGCTGATTGGAAGTTTGGAACTCTAGGTGTGCCTTTGATTTTCTTTTCCCTGGGTTGGTCGCTGAGGGTAGAAGTTGGGCATTGGTTATCTGGTGCTGTCAAATGAAGCTATTAAGGAAAATGCTCATAGATATTTAAATATCATATAAAGAGTGAAATTTTGTGGGAAAGAATGTGGATTTATGGCGTCGATGGGAGAGATTGGTATTGTGAGGAGATTTGAAGTAGCTATACTGATGGACTCAAGAGCTACTATGTATGGGTTTGACAACTTTGTTACAGTAATGAGGTTTACAGCGAGAGAGTGGGTGGGAAAAGTAATTGGAAGGAAATTTGGTGTAGTGAGATTTCCCTTTCAAAATCACATGTTGATGAGTTTTTTCCTTTAAAAATTTCAAGCGAACCCCTAGTTTTGGCTACTCAGAATATTTAGAATTTGATATCTAAATTAATTGGTGGCTGAACTGAGTTCCTTTACTCTAGTGGAAGCTCAGCCCTTTGCAAATGCAATTCTTATTAAATGGACTTTGTTGGTGGTGATCTAGGAGATCATCCCAAAGATAAAGATTAATGTATTGAACTTCTCCCCTTATTATCTCTATTAATTTAGACGAAAAGCCAACTGGTACTTGTAGGTTTGTTGAAAAACAGTATTCACTTTTGGTAATATGTAGTTATGTACTCTCAATCCTGTGGCAGTTACAGCTGCATTATTTATGTGACTGATTATCTGAGAAGAAAAGTAGTTGCATAAGAAAATGGTTTCTTTCCTAGTACAATGCGTCATTACCGTAGTCTGAATTCTTCTAAAATCTGCTAGCTTAAGCATGTCAACTTGGCCCAAGTTTGTTTGATCTAATGGCAAATTGGAGTTGAGTTTCGTAATATCCTAACAGTCTATGTATAACATTTTTACTGAACAATAATGATCTGGCATAGATACTTTTCTACAACTGGGGATTGCTAGGACAAGCCAAATAATTTTCGGTATAAACTTCTCCATCCTTCTCCTCCTCCTCCTCTTATTATTAAAATTGTTGCTGCTGCTGCTGCTGTTATTGATATATATATTTTTATTGTTCCTGTAATTATTATTTTATTGGTGGAGGTTCTATGATATTATTTATATCTACCAATATGATATTCACCTGATCAAAGCTCGTTGTTATATCATGATATGTATTATATTTCCCGTAGATTTCTTGAGACTTCTAATTTGTTGGCAGGTGTTCAGATTATTGAGGCTGCTAATATTAATTGTAATTGGTTTATACAAGCCTAGACTTTAAAACATGCATGAAAGAATTTAATACAGTTATAGGAGGAAGGTGTTGAATTTAAATATCTTAAAAGGTTAGAATAATTATCGAATTGTATGGATTTGTTCCATTCAATTCACTATTATTTTGAATCTCACTTCATTATTACCATTATTCTCATTATGGGAAGTTTTATGGTGGTATTGCTATGTATTTGAAATATTTAAGGCTTGTGGCATGTGCTAATTTATTTTTATTTTTATTTTCTGCTTACAATGGTCTTGTGACAACTTGTATTCTACTGTAGGACAAATTGGCATATTTTCGAATAAAGGAGCTCAAGGATGTCTTGACTCATCTTGGTCTTTCAAAGCAGGGAAAGAAGCAGGTTTGATGTCTGAAATAGCTTATGCTGCTTGAGTTTTCGTTTTCTTGTTTGAATTGCCAAAGAGCAATTGTTTTCTTTTTTATGAAATTTTAACAGTTCTTCCTGATAGTTGGATTCTGTTCACTGGTTGCAAATGCTTTAAGTCCCACTCTAGGAGTGGGCATTATGGTTTGTGCTTGTTTTGGTGGTTAGGTATTGATTGTTCTTTCTCATAACACAATATTGTCTGCTTTAGCTCTTATTTACGGGTTTCACCACGCAAGCATTTTCGATTATACTTATTGGGCCTTTAGCTTTTTCTGAATTTATCAGTGAACCCGAGAAATTATCCTCGCTAATTCAGAGAGCACGCCTCATCTCCTCTCTTATCTCTTTCGGCCATTTTTAGTTCTGCATAATTTGTTCATCACTGCTTGAGGCTAGATGTTCATCCATCATTTGTTTTTGTGCAGAAAATTTCTCACTTCGTATCAAAAAAATAAAGAACAAAGGACATTGCTCAACCAATTCTATTTTTGGAAAATTTCTTTTTTCTCACTATATTTTTTTGGGCAGTAACTTTGAGCTTGCTTTACTTAAGCTGGCATCGAGTTTTATGTGTGTACTTGAGAACTTTTGCATGGGTACTTGTGGCTAGAACTCATCAATTTTTAATTGTTGAAGTGTGATTACATGGAATTGAGTTAGCTGTCTTCTATTTTGGTGTACATTTTGCAGCTCATTTGATTGACTTTCATTTGCAAATTGGGATTAGCTGAGCTAAATCAAAAGTAGCTGAATCTAACCTCAACGTCTTCTCTGTCACTGACTGTTGTTTCATTATTCAGCACTTATCTTTTTTTTATCTCTTCCCTATGATCTCTTCATAATTTATCTTCTTTTAGGTCTTTTGAGTTGGTTTGTCATGTAGAGAGATTATGTTTGACTGTCTATCATTAATTCTGTATAGGACCTTGTTGATCGGATATTAGCAATTCTCTCTGATGAACGAGGTAATGTCTCTATTCCATTTCCTTTTCTCTAAAATGATGATAGATTGTTGCAATATATACATTCTGGTTTTCTATGTTATTGTGTATATTGTCAATTGTTTTTTCCTTTCTCCTTGCACATGCTGTGTTTGAAGTGTTCACTGGATGTGCTAATGGCTAATATTATTCTTTCCATAGTTTACTGTTAGATTTGGGGGAGTTAAACTGAACTTGTTTTTCTAAGAATGGTTTGGTATTATCTTTTCAACTTTGAGTAGTAGTGAGACCTATAAAATGTGCTTTTTTTATTTTATTTATTTATTGTTATTTTATAAGTTGACTGAGTTCTGTCTATTATTGATTGCACATGTAGTGTAGTTTTTCGTTCTGGCTGTTTGAATTTTAGTGCAGCCTTGTGGGAACCTTTCATATTGGAATATAGTTGAAACTTTTGGACCATGATTCATTGCTTACATGTCAGAACAAAATTGCGTATTTTTCGTGTTACAATCTCAAATTTTTTTAATGAGGCAAACTACTTGCGTAGTTGTTTATGGTTTTGAACATGTTGAGTGATTAATAATTTAAGGTGTAAAAAGTGAGGCAAGCTGTTTGCATTGTTGATCATCTATCATTACATTGCTGGTTCTGGCCATGTCATGTAAGATTTTCATTAGGGACATAGTTGTAGTGCAATATCTGGGTTACACAGGCACAGAGTTGTTGCACTTCATTCATACCCCAAACCTTTGAAACCCCAAGGTTGAAACACTTCTTCTACTGATGGCTTTGCTTTGCAGTTTCTGGTATGTGGGCAAAGAAAAATGCTGTTGGGAAGGAAGAAGTAGCAAGATTAGTAGATGATACTTACAGGTGTGTTTTTGTTATCAAATGATTTTTGCGTGATAAGCGACATCAGTAGACTCTTTCTCTCTTTTTGATTAGTTAAAACTCTTAAATATGTTCCGCTATTATGTTTGGATGTCTTATTACTGTCCTAGGATAATTTTACAATCCACAGTTTTATTTATGGGCACAAATTTTTTTCTTTATTTTTTCACATTAAGCTAATTTGTGATGTCTAAATCTTTTGCCTTTGCACCCAGAAAGATGCAGGTTTCTGGGGCGACTGATTTAGCATCAACAGCACAGGGTGTCTCAGATGGCAGTAACGTGATTCCTAAAGACGAAATTGAAGATTCTTACCAAAGGGATACTTTTCGTTGTCTATGCGGAAGTTCCTTGCAAACTGAATCTTTGATTCAGGTCACATAATTTTTTCCTTGCCTGTAGAAGTTTGAATATATCTCTCTTATATCTTCTGGAATAAGATGTTGTACATATATTGGTTTTGTAGCGTGGAAGTAGTACAATTAATATTGCTTACAGTTTGGTCTTCTCATTATGAAAATTTGGGTCTGTATATTTTTTTTATTATTTATTTATTTTTTTATATATTAACCAATTTAAAATGCATATAGAAATTTTCAATTCTGTGAATATATTTTCCAGTAGTCAATGCTGTTGTTAAATATATAAAAGAATATACTTGGGAGTTGGGGAATTTTGGCTTCTTCTTACTCTTCTTTTGAGGAAGATGGATCCCTAACATGGTAGATCAAAGTGTTACTGTGCTGAACGATACTTTACCAAGAACCTGTTCTCCTTCCATTCTTCTCTTTCATTTGGTTGTGTTATTGGCAAGGTTGTCAAGATTGGGATTCTACCTTGGATCTGTATATATATATATATATATATATTTCACCCAAGTATATTTGAGAATGTAGGCGAGTGTTAAGTCAATTTACTTTATCATAAATTGGGATAATAGGATTGTACCGATTTTGATAACCATATTTGTGGGTACCCACTAACCTATAGCAGCATGAGGCCACAAGTGAATGAGATCCCTTCTGCTGGACCACAGGTGCAGAAAAATAGTAGTTTAAATTCCTCTTTTAAGAACCTAAATCCCAACTACTTTTCCAATGAACCCTTTTCTGCCATACAACTCCTGCGATAGCCATTTCTGTTGCTTCAACCTACATTCTTTTTTGGCTTCCTCTTGCTTCAACCTATTTGCCTCATTGTATTTCACCTTTTTGATTTGTTACAAACTTTACTTGTTATCATCCCATATATGCACATGCAACTTTTAATTTTAATCTTAATGCACTATGGACACCTAATTTTATAATGACCTAATTATTTTGTTTTTGGCTGCAGTGTGAGGATCCAAAATGCCACGTGTGGCAGCATATTGGTTGTGTTATTATTCCAGAGAAGCCTATGGAGGGTGTTCAACCTGAATCTCCTGAGATTTTTTATTGTGAACTTTGTAGACTCAGTCGGGCTGACCCGTATGTGACACCTTCCTTACTTTTTTCTTATTCATTGGACTGTGATGTGCTGATGTGATTTCTGTGCAATTTTTATTGTGATTGGTATCTTGTTGGCTGCATTGCATTTTTCCTTTTGCTTCTGTTGCTGGTTTTATTCTTTCTAATGACATGATTTTTTTTCTCTATATTGTGGTTTCTTCATTCTCTTTGCCCTATTGATGAGCTATTTTAATTAGCATTTCATTATTTAGTTAGCCTTTTAGTGTTCCGTAGTTTGTTTTTTTCTGCAATTTCTGGTTTTTATTTTTTCCCCTTCACTTTCATATTCTAGTGTTAAGTATATGTGGGTGGTAAGTATAGTGTTATGTTTCTACAATTACAACTAAAATCTTTTATATTGTGTTTCTATTTGATATAATTGGTTTCAGCTGCAATTTTTCTTCAGTTCCATTAGTTATTTATTATGAAGTAACTGGATGTTGTGGGGAGTTTTCACCGTCAGCATTACAATGCAAGTTTCTTACTAGTCACTTACTTTATTATGTATCAACAAGTTTTATCGTGTTGAATATTTTGGAACTCCCTTTCATCAATTTATTTACCTTCACTTGGTCATTATTATCACTGCACCTTTGTTGGAGTATTGATGAGTTCTATAAGTAGTTGTCAGTTGCCAACTATTTTATTTGCAAGGGTTGTTGGAAATATTTCTTTCCTTCTTCCTAACCCCCACCCACCCCCCCCCCCCCCCCCCCCCCCCCCCCGCCCCCCCTCCCCTTCATGCTGGAAGTGACAAGTAATATGTATTATTTGATTGAAGAAAGGGGCAGCAATATCTTGTGCGTGATTCCTTTTTGATGGACATTACATATATATTGAAGAAGTTGACATGATTTTTTTACTCAGCGTCGTCTGCCTGGGTTAATTGGGTTGTTTGAATTCATTTAGCAAACAATCTGGGAATGGTTTCTTGTGACCTGGAGTAAACTCAACTTACTGTCATCTTAAATACGTTATGTATTTTTTCCTGAATAATACGTTATCTATTTGGTTTATATTAGTTTAGCTTCACTATGCTTAAATTGTTCCTCCCTCTAGGTGCTTCTATTATAACTATTTTCTTTTCTCACTCTCAAAATCTTAATGCATTGAAAGTTGAAAGTAACAAGTATTATCGTCTTCTCATTTTCTTCCATGCAGATTTTGGGTGACAGTGTCTCATCCTCTATTACCTGTGAAGTTAATTACTACAAATGTTCCTACAGATGGGTGAGTTCATGATGTTTCCTGGTCCTGAAGTTGTGAAGCTAGTAATCTTTTTTCCCCCTTAAAATTTCTGTTGTAATTTTGGTTTGAAGTTATCAGAAGCTTTCCGGCAACACATTAATTAATAAAATAATATCTGACAGATTTCGCTTGATATTTGTATTTGACTATTTTACACCTGGTGATTTTGCCGGTCCTCCTACTCTGTAAATCTTGCTATATCTTTTGCTGATTGGGTTTTTTGAGAGATATAAAATTTTATTTGCATTTTTTGAGTTTCTAATTATTATCAATCTCTCAATTGGAAGTCACAGATAATCTCTGTGGAACTCATGAAAGGAGAAAAAGTTAAGGTCCAAGGTGACTGTATTTTACTTTAAGATTTAGCGAATGGGTGATTTACCGACTTTGTAGCACCTTAGTATGACAAACTGTACTATTGTGGTCTAGGTATTTGTTTAAAGAATTTCTTCTGGGGATGCCGTGAGCTAGGGAATGATCCATCTTTTTGTATATGTACATGGCATATTTTTAGCGTTATTCCAAGAGGGGATTGGATTTTTTAGATTTTGTTTTGAATTGGAGTTGGGGGCTAAGTGAACATGTGCTTGGATTGTAATAAGTATAGAAGTATTCTACTCTGCTTGGGCTAGTTTCTCATTACTTGGATGCAGTAGTTAATTCTGTAGTTTTTTGCATAAATATAAATGCAACTAAAAGGATGTCAACCTGTTTCTTAAAAAAAAAAAATTGATAATTTTGTCTTGATGTTTGAATCATGGATTCCAGACACCTGCAAATGATTATTGGGTTTGTTTATTTTCTTGTAAAATTCCAATTATCTTATGTGCTGGGTGGATTTTGCATTCTCGATTGTGGTCCTTGCTTTCTTGACACCTATAAGTGATTATGGTTTGTTTATCTTATTTTCTTGTAAAATTCTAATTGTCTTATGTGGTGGGTGGATTTTGCTTTCTCGATTGTGGTCATTGCTTTCTCGATACCTAAGTGATTACTAGGTTTGTTTATCTTATTTTCTTGTAAAAGTCCAATTGTCTTATGTGATGGATGGATTTTGCTTTCTCGATTATGGGCATTGCTTGTGAGTGGAGATGTGTTGCTTATCATATAGAGAATAGGCTATGTTGTTGATTGTATGATTATGAGATGCCTTGTTTATTCACTTCATTTTATTATTTTTATCATTGGCTTTCTGGCAGGGCTTGATTTTTGTAAATATTAGTTCGTTTTTTCCATGTAATACTTTAATTCAATGACGTGTCTATCCTTCTTTTGCATGTAAATGTAAGAGGGAAGAGCACTAGCGGTCTTTGTACAATGTTATAATACTGGGGACTAGTATTTATATATATATATATATTTGTTTATATAGCTTTCTTTCATTTCTCTTTTTTACTTGTGAATTCTAGTTCGTGTATGGTTGCAGGTTTTGTTCATATTCTTTATACTTGTTTCATTTATGATTTTTTCCAGTACAAACCCGGTACAAAGTGTTGAAAAAACATTTCAACTTACAAGGGCAGACAAGGACTTGTTGTCAAAACAAGAGTATGATGTTCAGGTTGGTCAGTGCACTATATACTATTTGTGAAAATAAGATTTCGTATCTGGGAGTTAAAGATGCAGATGTATTGATGATTTTTATATAATTGTGGTTTAGGCTTGGTGTATCCTTCTTAACGACAAAGTTCCATTTAGGATGCAGTGGCCTCTATATGCAGACCTACAGGTCAATGGTATGCTAGTTTGCTTCACTCGGTGGTGTTACACAGTTACTTGCACATACTTTCTCTCTCTGTATGCGTGTGTGTGTGTGTCTAATTAGTGCTTTTGAGATAACTAGGTTAGTTTCTCCATTCTATTCTTATTAGCACTGAAAAATAAAGACTAGTCTTACGAATTGTTCTGCATATCAAAAAATGTACTGGCGACCTTGTAATTAATTAATTATTTATTTATTTCTATTTTTTATACCGTATTTCCCCTGCTCTGGTTGGTTGGATTACTTATCTACCATTTGGTTTTATTTAATGTGCATGGTTCTACAGGTGTGCCAGTGCGGGCGATTAATAGACCTGGCTCACAGTTGCTGGGGACTAATGGTCGTGATGATGGCCCTATTGTGAGTTTTACCCCTTCCATTCACAAATTTCTTCTAGCTGTCTTATAAAAAAAAGCTTTCAATTTTCTTGTTAAGGACCCAATTTACTTGCTTGATCATTTTGTTAAACAACTCTGCAATTTATGTGTTGAATCATTTTGTTAAACAATTCCCACGTGTGTACTAGTTTGCTGTGTTACCTGGACTCAATAGTGCAGTCAAAGTGCCTGTGTTGACATGATCCGACATGACACGGACGCCAGATATGAGTCGGACTCTTCATCGCGTCTATTGGACACGGCTGATGATTACACAATAGGATGCTTGGGTTGATGCTTGTGAAGGATTTGGAAAAAAATTTCAATTTTATTTTGGGGTTAAATCAGCTGCTAGTAAGCTCACTGGTTCCAAAATGGAGTCCTTGAAAGGTTGAAGATGACCTCATATGCGTTGTCTTTACACAATTTTTTGTGCTTGGCCGAGCATGTTTTTACATGCTTGCCTGTTGAGCCACGTGCTTTTTATGTCCTGTTTTCAATGGTCAAGATGCTGCCACATTTTTATGTGAAGAGATGGAGATGTTTTGGCTTTTGTAAGCAAGAATAACGATGTACAGCTCTAGCAATGGTTATCTACAGCTGTAAATCCTGTAATGCTCCACTCATATCTATTGTAGATATATACATACATGATACATGTATATATATTGTACATATGCCCCTTTTATAATGGTGAAGAAGCTGCCACGTGTGCTTGTTTTTCCACTCTTTCTTTTTTATTGGTAAAAATGCTTTGGACTTTGCAATTCCTTGTCATTTTACTAAATAAATAAATATAGTAGTAAATATATGCAAGTCTTATATTTTGCGTATGTGTCTTGTGTTGGTGCAGGGGCATATATTCCGGTAGTTCATATATTATATGACGTGACTTGTGTGAACACTTGTAATTTTGATGGAACTATTTCTTTGTTGGTCTTAGGTTTATTTCTTAGTTCACTTCTGCTTGTTTTGTCAGATCACACCATGCACCCGGGATGGAATTAATAAAATTTTCTTATCGGGATGCGATGCTCGTATATTCTGTTTGGGAGTCAGAATTGTAAAGCGGCGTACGATCCAGAAGGTAGTTTCAACTCTTTCAATTAGGACATTTAGGAATGTTGATTTTTTTAGGATATTGAATTTTTCCAGTTATAGCTTTGGGGAATAGGAAAGGCAATCTGATATATAATGATAGCTATGCTTTGCACTACCATCTGGAGTTGTATTATTGTCCGCCTTCTTGTGGGAGAAAATTCCTTTGTGCTTACTCAAGTTCTTTTTAAAATTATTTGCATCTGTTATTACTTTACATATGAAATATTATATTCAAGCCGACTTCATCATATATTTGCAAGCATGTGGATGAGCTAATACAATTCAATGGAACAGGGGGGAGAAGATCATAATATATTGTTGAATGGTTATGCTTTAGTTCTTGAACTTCAAATCTGGTGATATATACTCATGTTGTAGTGTGTTGTTGGCATTTTTATTTTGTGGAGGTCTCCTTTTGATTTAGTTCTCGGCTTCTTATATAATTTGTGAACAATATTGGGAAATTTGTTCACAAATGAAATGTTCATTGTCAACCTCTTTAATGCTGCCTTCAGAGATGGAGGCATTCAGAGTTCAGTGGGGGCAATTGCCCCCACTGGATTTTTTTTTTTTTTTTTTTATAGTATACCCGTAAAAAAATTATTTTGAAATATATACCTATAAAAATTAACCATTTCCCCCACAGAAATTTTTGAAAATTAGCACTATTGCCCCCACAAATCCACATTGGGCTTCTTTAAAGAGAGAGGGCCAATGGCCCAAGCCACTGAAAGCATCAATCTAACCATCAAACAAGTTACACAGAAGGTTATTATAATGGTTTGAATTTTTTTTTCCTTTCTTGTTGCTGTTAAAGGTCTCCCCCACTCACATAATTTTCTGGATCCGTCCCTGGCTGCCTTGATATGCTTTTGTGATTGATTTTAGCTTGCCCATAAGTTGCAAATGTTATATTTCCGGGGAATAAAGGTTCCGCTGTCATTATTGTTTTATCTTTGTATTTATAAAAAATAAGTAAATCAATAAAAATGTTTTATCTTTCTAATTTGAACTTCATGTTTTGAGTTAAGGCTAGAAGTTCCAAGTTGTATCTGCAACTTTTCCTTAGGAGTTTTTCCCCGCCTTGGTATTTTGTGGTTATGTTATATTATTTTGTTATCCAGATTTTTGAGTTGATCCCCAAGGATTCAGATGGTGAGCGACTTGAAGATGCTCTTGCTCGTGTTCGTCGTTGTGTTGGTGGTGGAACTGCAGCGGAGAATGATGACAGCGACAGTGATCTGGAAATCGTTGCTGATTCTATTCCTGTCAATTTACGCTGTCCTGTAAGTAATTTAATGTATGGTAATGGAAGTGCTTTTTTTAATGCTTGCATGTCAACTCTAGAAACAAATAGATTTTGTTGATATACTTAGTGTTTTTTTTTCTTTACTTCTTTCGGCACTTGGTGTCTCCTAGTTGTTGATGCTGTAATTGTTTAACAAAAAATATAATAAAATGAATCAAATTGTTGTTGTATGAATCTTTAAGAGTGTTGAAGTGTTGAAAAGTCTTGTTAGTTGTAGGTAGCTTTGAGCCTTTGAGAGAGAGGGGGAGAGAGGAGGGAGGGTTGGAAATAGTATCCAAGTTTGTTTTGCATGTAAATGGAAGTCGGGCGTGTGTGCATGTGGGATATGATGTGGCCAAGCGGTGATATTGCCACATGGTGGGAAAATATCATTGTGTCTTGGAATGCACAGATGAAATTTAATCTTTGAATCTTTTAAATACAAAGAAAAAAAAAATCTTTACAAAGCTGATTATTTTTTTTTTCCCTTGTTACGATGGTGGTATATGATAGAATAAATATCAGAATATATTGATAAAATTAATTCCATCCCAATCTCTTTACTGAAAATTAACGTGGTTCTAATTTCACCAAAATGTTTTGGATGAATTGAAAATATTGCGATACACAAATGTATATCATTATATTAGTTGAAGCTGTTTAAAAATCTGATTGAGGCTTTGGGTCCTCTGAAACTGATCTGTTCCAGTTGGAAATAGTATCCAAGTTTGTTTTAAAGAAGAATATGCCCGTGGATGGAAGCTGGCGCATATGTGCATGTGGGATGTGATGTGGCCAAGCGGTGATATTGCCACGTGATGGGAAAATATCATTGTGTCTTGGAATGCACAGATGAAATTTAATCTTTGAATCTTTTAAATACAAAGAAGAAAAATATTTACAAAGCTGATTTTTTTTTTTTCTTGTTGCGATGGTGGTACAGCAGTGAATATGATAGAATAAATATCAGGATATATTGATAAAATTAATTCCATCCCAATCTCTTTACTGAAAATTAATGTGGTTCTAATTTCACCAAACTATTGCGATATAAAGATGTATATCATTGTATTAATTGAAGCTTTTTAAAAATCTGATTGAGGCTTTGGGTCCTCTGATACTGATCCGTTCCAGTTGGAAATAGTATCCAAGTTTGTTTTAAAGAAGAATATGCATGTGGATGGAAGCCGGTGCATATGTGCATGTGGGATGTGATGTGGCCAAGCAGTGATATTGCCACATGATGGGAAAATATCATTGTGTCTTGGAATGCACGGATGAAATTTAATCTTTGAATCTTTTAAATACAAAGAAAAAAAAAAAATCTTTACATAGCTGATTTTTTTTCCTTGTTACGATATTGGTATGGCAGCGAATATGATAGAATAAATATCAGGATATATTGATAAAATTAATTCCATTCCAATCTCTTTACTGAAAATTAATGTGGTTCTAATTTCACAAAAATGTTTTGGATGAATTGAAAATATTGCGATATATAGACGTATATCATTAATTGAAGCTTTTTACAAATTTGATTGAGGCTTTGGGTCCTCTGATACTCGTTTTCTTCACCATGATTTGCTATCACTGCCTATTCAATTTTTCTTCCCTTCCAAAAAGATATATGCATATATTGATAATGGTATTGATTCGTTATGTACCATCTATATGTCCGTGTTTCTTTGACCTCAATTTTTCCTTTTTATGAATATTTTGTGCCTCGGGTATAGCAGATCCCTAGCAGTGGAGATAGAATGTCAGGGAGTGACATTTACTTCACTCGCAAATTTTTTTATCCGACTTAATTGGGTTACAACAGCAATAAATTCTTAGAACTGATTTGTGTTTATTTCCTGTGCATATATGTTACAGATGAGTGGTTCGAGAATGAAGGTCGCTGGAAGATTCAAACCTTGTGTTCATATGGGCTGTTTTGATCTTGAAGCTTTTGTGGAAATGAATCAACGTTCTAGGAAGGCAAGCAACTTAAGAATAATGTTTTAGATGATTATTTGGTGCTTTAGCCATGTTATGTGGTGTTAAATATTTTTAGGGATGTGCTTTTTGCCAATTTATACATGTAGCAAGTACTGTATTTGACTGCAGTGGCAATGTCCCATCTGTCTCAAGAACTACTCTTTAGAGAATGTCATCATTGACCCATATTTCAATCGCATCGTATCTAAGGTTTTTCCTACTATTGACCTCTTAATTTTATCTGATTTGTCAGTTTTTTTTGGGTGCATTCATTCATGTTATGCTTTGTTTTATTTTCGTGGTATAGATGCGGAGTTGCGGGGAAGATGTAACAGAAATCGAGGTGAAGCCTGATGGTTCTTGGCGAGCAAGGGCAGAAAGTGATCGCAGGGATCTTGGAGATCTTGGTCAGTGGCACTTCCCTGATGGTACTCCGTGTGTCCCTATGGATGGAGAAGTTAAGCCTAAATCTGAAGTTCTTAAGCAGATTAAACAGGAAGGTGTTTCTGATGGTCATGGCAGTTTGAGACACGTGATCAAGAAGAATCAAAATGGCTATTGGGAAGTCAGCAAACCTGAAGATACACACTCTCTCTCTTCTGGTAATAGATTGGTGGAGAAGTTTGAAAACCATGGGCTGAATGTTATCCCAATGAGCAGTAGTGCCACTGAAAGTGGTAGGGATGGCGAAGATCCCAGTGTCAATCAGGATGGTGGTGGGAATTTTGATTTTTCTACTAATACTGGTGGGATGGAGCTTGATTCTATTTCTCTGAACTTTGATACGACTTATGAATTTGCTGACCGAGATCCGCCTGGACCATCAGGTCATGCAGAAGTTATTGTTCTCAGTGATTCAGAAGAAGAGAATGATACCCTGGTTTCTCCTGGGACAGTCTACAAGAACAATGGAACTGATGCTGGTGGGGTAACATTTTCAGTTCCTCACCATGTAATACCAGATCCATATCCTGAAGATCCTGCTCTTGGTACCACCGGGAGTTCATGCCTGGGTTTTTTCGGTACCAATGATGATGATTTTGGGATGCCCCTCTGGCCTTTACCTTCTGTTAGTCAAGCAGGCCCTGGTTTCCAGTTATTTGGTGCAGATGCAAATGTCTCCGATGCATTAGTTGATTTACAGCATACTTCCATGAACTGTCCCACATCAATGGATGGTTATACATTGGGTGCAGAGACTGCCATCGGATCTGCTGATCTCATTTCCGAGTCAAATATTGACCGTTCTATTGCTGATATAAATGATGGGTTAGTTGATAATCCCTTGGCGTTTGGTGGGGAGGATCCGTCTCTTCAAATTTTTCTTCCTACAAGGCCTTCCGATGCATCAATGCAGCCTGATTTGAGAAACCAACCTGATGTATCAAATGGTGTTCGTAATGAGGATTGGATTTCTCTCAGGCTTGGTGGCGGCGGCGGCGTTGGGGGTCTTGGGGAGACTGCAGCTGCAAATTGTTCAAGTCCAAAACAGCAATTACCATCAAGGGAAGGTGCCAGGGATTTGTTGGCTGAATCTGGTATCTAATTTTCATACTTTAGAGTGCTATATGTCTAATTTCATACTTTGAAGAAATTACATATGCACAGGACTGATGCTAACTTAACAGTTAATATGTTCCTTTCATGTCAAGACACATGGTTAATTGTTTGAAAGTCCACATAAATTGTCCATTTATACATCAAGTGGGAGATCTTTTCCTTTATTTGTACTACATGTGTTCTTAAAGCAATGATATTGGATATGGATGCATTAGATGTCATGCCGATTTTTTGTTGGTTGGTATCCCGTGTAGCCCTACGAACTAATTAATTTTAATGCTCATTATGTTACGCGATTTCCCGTTTCAAGACAAAGGCTTATCTATCCATACCTTTTGTTATTTATTGGACCTATTCATTTGGCTGCTCTTTTATTTCCCTCTATTTCTGCAGCTTCTTTGCTTCTAGGTATGAGCGACAAGAGATCTTCCAAGACAACCAGGGAAAGATCAGAGAGCCCCTTTACATTTCCTCGTCAGCGACGTTCTGTTAGATCACGGTTATATCTCTCTATTGACTCGGACTCTGAGTAGAGAAGTTGGACCTTGTTTGCTGGAACAAAATGTTGCACAGATACCCCCTCAATTACTGGAGTTATTTTGCGATCTGTCCCATCTTACTGCCAAGTTGCTCAGCTTCCTGCTTAGAATGGGTGCTGGTATTTTCGAGAATCTTTCTGTAGGTTTGCTGTTTACCTTTCTTTTTAACTTCCTCAGTCCATCTCTATATAATGCTTTAAAAATGCTGCGTTTCTGATTTTTTTCCCCCCTCCCTACAGGGCCGCTGTAAATTCATGTTCCCGCCTTCCTTTCTAGCTGATGAATTGCAGGCACGGTGCTGTTAAATTGTATTATAGTTGTTTATTTTAATGTGGAAATTGGAAACAAAATCCATGGCTCTTGCCTTTGGACGCTGCAGTGGGGAGGCCCTTCATTTTTAACCGGTGGCTTCAAATTTTAGTGCGAGCATTTAGCCTGTAAATGTCGTTTTTGTATCCGATTTTAGTGAGAGCATTTAGGCTGGAAATGTCTCCACTGAGTATCAGTGAGTTAACAGATAATATTTTGCCAAAATGGACAAATTTGCAGGTGCTATCAGCATATTGATGTCTATTTATATATTCTACAGTTAGGGTTATGTCTGTAAATACTCTTTTGGATCTTGAAACGTAGTAAATGTTGCATGCTTTGTATGGTGCCCGGTTGGATGAATTTGCCTTTTCTTTTCGATTTTTTTTTTTTTAATTTTCAATTTAAAATGAGCATTACTTTTCTAACCATCTTGCTTTAGATCAGGTTACAGCTAGGTTAATGTTGGTCTTCGATTTGTTTTTAAATTTCCCTCATTTCAAATAATGTAATTTTAATTATATTATATTTTCAATTAACTTCAACTGAGTTGGGAGGTAAAATCATAACAAGCAATTTTTAATTTTTTTTTAGGGGGAGTCAAACTCAGGTTGTTGGAGTGGGATTTGCCCTAGAAGGTCCCTTTAACGATTGGGCCACACATTTCATTTAATGAAGATTGGATTTTGATCATTTTAATGTGAATGCAGGTGCCAAGGGTACACCCTTTTTGTCCGCATCTTGGTCTCCAAATGCAAAAATTGTGAGGAAAACTACAGAAAAAGAATCCGGGTAGTTGGGTGTTTGGTGAACCAATTCAAAAGTTTAAGTAATGGTGGATGTAACACAATTCATTTAATATCCATTTCTTTTTCCGTTCGGGGATTTGTAACATTTTCTTTCACCCGAGCTTGGCACGTAAGTAATGGTGGATTTACTACCTCTCCGACGAGAGTTTGGCACGTAATACTGGATCAAGGACTCATCTAATTATAAGATTAATTGTGGGTGTTTCGCGATCTTATTTAATTAGAACTAACATCCAACTTATTTTTATATATATTTTCTTCTCTCATTGGACCCAATGTAAGTGCTGGCCAAATGATTAGAGTGCCTCTCGAGTTAGACTCTTGCAAAATACAAAAATATTGAAGTAATAATAATATGTGTATATATATATATATATATATATAGAGTCCTGATCTCTTACCCCACATGGAGCAAGAAAATTAATCCACACTTTTTTATATAGGGTGTTAGATTAAATCTAACACCTATTTTTAGTTTTTATATTTAATTTTAGCATTACCACCTATCTAATAATAAAAGGTAATTATTAAAATAAAAATAGAAACTTTTGAAAAAAAAATAATACCAGTATATTTTATTAATAAATTTATTTTTATTTAGATGTTTCTTTGAAAGAAAAACAATACCCTTTCAATTTTGCAATAACGGTATGATATTATAGCATTTTTCTAAGAAACATCTTGTTGTTCTCAGTATAAGTAAATTAATATATTTTTTTAATATAAGTAAATTTATCAACAAATATACTGTATTGCTGCATTTTGGAATATTGAATTGATTCATTGAAATTGAAATTAAAGAAAAATTCATTTAAAGTTTGAACAAAAGTTTTTTCTATTTCAATTTGAAATTGGGCATTTGGTGAAATTCATTATTGAATCTGTGAATTTATGAGTTTGATTATTGGATAATGATGATGATGTATTGACTATGGTGGGACTGTTGAATCTACCTCAGAAATAACAAGATAACCCAAAAAAAATGGATGAAACTTTTCTCACAACCTAATCCATGGAGAGTAATCATTTGTCCACACTTTTGTCCATGGATTCAAATTCAGCCACGCACCAATAAATGGAGAGAGAGTTGAATCGAACTATCAATCTATCCTGACCACCGGATATAAACCTCCCACTCAAGGTTTCTATTTTTATTTTGATAGTTACCTTTTATTATTATAGTAGATAATAATGGTAAAATTAAATAAAGAAATTAAAAATATGGTTAGAGTGGTTTTGTGTTTAAAGAAAAATTCATAGGTGAGTTTGAAAAATGACTGTTAGAATCCAACGGTCTATATAGAAAGTGTAGATTAATTTCCTTATTATATGGGAAGCAAGAGATCAAAACTTATATATATATATAAATAAATTAAATAATAGCACGCAATATAAAAAATTAAATCATACTGTAGCACGGATTATTGTAGTACTATGCATGTGAGGTAGAGATATAAGTACACTGACCGAGGAAAGAGATTGAGATAAGTACTGTCTGACGACATGCCAAATCCCATTGCTGTCTGCCGAGCACACAAGCAAGTGGATAGATATGTCATTATTGTATTTCTAAATGGGACCCACAAATTTCGTTATCTTTCCATTCAAACTTCCAAATTAGACGTATACGCAACTGCCACCCATCTCTGTGATTCCAAATGTACTAAACGACGTAACACAAGCCGATTGCGTAATCTCCGATTGCAAGCCGTAACACAAGTCTAGTGCTGAATTTATAAGATTGTAACTTTTTTGGGCTTTAACTAAATAGTTCTCCAATAGTGAATCATAGGGTGTACATTGCCAGCATTGATTAAAAACTCAAAGTGAATCCTTATATGTATTTTTGATTTTAAAAATAAAGTGATAGTGTGTGAGCGATGTATGGGACAAATTTTAAAAATAATAAAATAAATGAGTGGAGTGTAAGTGAAATTACTAAAATGCCCTTTAATACAAATTTAATAAAATGATGCATCTTAATATTAAAATAAAATTAATAAAATAACTCATTTGGCATAGTGTAAATTAAAAAACTCAAATGGTGCATTTATAAGAAAGTAAAAGTACTTGGAACAATTTTTCAAATTTTTTCTTAAATTTTTATTTCTAAAAAATAAAAAGGAAAAGAAACCTAAAATAAAAAATCATTTTAAAGTGAACCTAAACTTTCTTAAATTTATACTAATGTAATGCTAAAATGTCAAAAAAATTATTTTATATTAGGGAAAATTTTTGTAAATATAAAATGATTTAAATTTCATTAAATCCATAAATCATAAAATTATAGCATCACTTTAATATAAAATTTCATTTTATATTTAAATCATAGCATCACTTTAATATAAAGTGATTTTCATTTTAATTTAATATTAGGGAAAATAACTTAATTTCATTTTAAATTTCATTATAGCATCACTTTAACATAAAATTTCATTTTAAATTTAAATCATTTTATATTAACGAAAATTTCATTTTATATTAGGAAATTTTAACTAATATAAAATGGTTTAAATTTAAAATAAAATTTTATATTAAAGTGATGCTATGATGAAATTGAAAATGAAAATTTTGTCATTATAGCATCACTTAAATATAAATTTAAGAAAGTTTAGGTTTATTTTAAAACGATTTTCATTTTAAGTTTTCTTTTCATTTTTATTTTTTTAGAAATAAAAATTTAAGAAAATATTGAAAAATTATTCGAAGGTACTTTTATTTTCTTATAGATGCACCATTTAATTTAATTTTTTTTATCAACACTATGCCAAATGAGTTATTTTTATTAATTTAATTTAATATTAAGAGGCAACATTTTATTAAATTTGTCTAAGGGGATTTTAGTTAGTATAACACCACTTTGCAACAAATTGTATAATTAGGGGGGTTTTATGTCAATTTTTTTTTTGGGAGGTTCCTTGTCTAAATTTTAAAACAGAGGGATGCACGAGGTGTGATTTTTTATCCTCTCCCATCCACCAAGTTATCCCTTGAATAGTTGAGGAGTTTTTTTGACAAAAAATTAATCGTGGGGGTTTATTGCACTTTGTCCAAAAATAAATGGATACCTAAATACTTTTTAATATATTTTAATGTTATATTTCATACTTGCTTTTTTAAAACTTTAATAGGTATTTACCGTATTTAGTTCACTGTATAACCTCTCCTCACCAAAGAGGAGAGAGAAAGGTTCGAGTATAAGCTTGAGAAATAAAAGTGTGAACGAATTTATTTTTTTTCAAAAAATATAAAAATAGGGTACTTTTTATTTTTATTATTATTTTTTCCTAATTGGGACTCACACACACTGCCTCTACTGATTCTCAAACCCCTAATCTTCCTTTAAGAAGTAAGAGCCTTGTACCGCTAAGCCACAGACCTGTTGGCTTTTTTTTTTTTTTTTTATTATTGAAGATAACACATCATCTTATAAGAGTATGTTAGCATATAAGGAATTGGACCGAAGGAAAATAGAAAAGTCTTAAAATGCATTTGTTTGAAACTAATGAAGAAACTGGAAGGGAAAGGAATATAGTTTAATAATTAGGTGAAAATTATAAAACACCCACTGTTTTTAAATTTTGATCATATACCTCCAATCTGTTTAAGAAAATTCCTATACTTTAAAAAGTGATCATATTACCCCAATATTTGTATATGACCTGTAAAACGGGCTATGAAATGAAAATTTTAACCTTATTATTTAATGTTGAATTAAATACTTAAAATTATAAAAATACCTTTTAAAATTACAAAATTTATGTTTTAGAGAGAAAGAGAGGGGGGTGAGAGTTTGAGAGAGGGGTAAAGAAGAATATTAAAGGGGATTTTTGTAATTAAAAAAATAATTTTTAATTTATAATTTAACATTAAGTAGTAAAATTAAATTTGTCATTTCATAACCGGTTAATGAGTTGGATACGAATATTGAGGCAATGTGATCACTTTTAAAAAGTGTAGGGATCTTTTGAAACAAGTTGAAATTTTATGATCAAAATTTGAAAGTAGTGGGAGTTTTATGATTTTAACCCTTAATAATTTAAGAGTCGTGATACTCAGACACAGAAAGATTAAACCGATTTGTTAGGCAAAATATACGTGGCATAAAAAGACAAATTAATATGGCAATCAAATGGTCCACTAGCATGTCCATTAAAACAACATGAATTTTCAAAAACACAATTACCCTTATATTGCCTTCTTGTATTTATACTCCCTTTTTAATGGTCACTTAATTGAGACCATCGTTTCAAAAATAATTATAATTAAAAATCCCTTAAATTCCTTTTATAAATTTTATCAAAACACTATCTCTCTAGATAAATGATTAATAATATATAAATTTCTAAAAAAAATCATCCGAATATATATATATATATAGATTCTTAAGCATAAGAATATATATATATATATGTATAAGAATATGGAAAATTTCGCAAAACATAAAATAAATAAATAACAAGTTTTTAAAATTTTCATCATAACTCCAAAAATATATATATATATATGTGGTGCGTGTGGTATGTTTGTATGCAGAGCTATTGGATATGATCAACATTCTTCTGCATGAAACAACAACAGATTGAAAATCAAGTACTGTAAAGTGATATATTTGAAGAAAACCAAGTACTGTAAAATGATATATTTGTATATCTAATCAATGATGGTAATGGAAAAAAGAGTGAAAAAAGAAAATAAAGAAGGGTTTGACTATGAGATAGAGATGGATGAAGAGAGATATTATTAGTAATTAAGATTCTTTACTAATTGGGATTATGTAAGGATTGTTTTGTTTTTAAAATTTTATCTTTTAAAGTGTAGTACAACTATAGTGACACATCACCATCAACTTGAGTTTTAGGCATGAGTATTGGGTGCAAGTATCATTTTCCATAATTTAAAGAGCAGTGCTATACTTCACAAAAAATAAAAAATAAAAAAAGTAACTTAACCTAGTTACTCTCTCTATATTCTCTTTCCAAAAGTATAAAGATCCACGTTCTTCATCCACCATAGTCATCACATACGTATACATTGAAGTTCATTAAAGTAGTAGTCTTCCTCTACCATGCATCAGACAAGTCCTTGACTAATTTCGTTTATGGGTGTCATAATTTTTTTATTTATTAATCATCCACAATCCCAAACCCTAATTATGTAAAAGAGATAGAAACATAATCCTAAATTTCGGAATTATAGTTTCAAACCAACACATAAGAATTATTTAAATATCCTTCTCTCCATAATTAATTATATATGGCTTCAATATATAAATACACACATGTGTATATATATACACATACTGTGTTCAAATAAAAATCTAGAAACTAAAGTCGTGTGGTTGCCGCTGGACAACTTACAAAAGAAAATTTAAGAATGATTCTAGAAAAAAGAAACTAGCTACCAAAAGGAAATCTAAGTTAGGGTTTGTCTCTTTTACTCGGAAAAGGAATGCTAATTATGACACTTATCATCAATGATAAAATCATGAAATTGTCATTTTCCTAATTTAAATAATATCTTATTTTCTGTTTATGGAATGATAAGGTTAGAAGTGACATTTGCAAATGTAAACAAAGGGACTGCCAATATTACCTTCCAATATTTTCTTGTAATTTTTGGTACTAATTGATACTACTTTTTCACGATTTTTTTTAAAAATACTTTTTCACAATTTACTAACCAATATTCATATTAATTTAATTTTCGTCCAATCACGTATCTTTTTCACTACCTTCTGCTCATTAATTTTTACTTAATCTGAAAGGACCACATATGATTCGGCCCCACAAGAATTTAGTTTTATATTCACGAATTTCTATCTAATTTGAAATGATTTCTTAGCTTTGTAAAGATAATTTATAAAACTCAAACCCTTTTATGCTTGAATTATGTACTTGTTTGGGCTTTCAGCTATTCATTCCATTCCGTAACAGCTCCAGTTACCGATTGTTTGTCTCTCCTCTCTCTCTCTCTCTAAAAACCACAGACGATGATGCCGAGGTTATTCGCAGTGAGGACTTTAGCTGCTGCATTATCCAGAAGGGAGACACAGCGTGCTGCTTTTTCAACTTCTCTACTCTTCGATGATACACAGATACAGGTCTGTATCTATATATATATATATATATATATGTGCATACATACATGTATTTGTATATGTATTTGTAACAATTGTAGGTTTATCACTTAATGTGATTGGGGCATCTGAATTAACATACTCTTCTATCTGAATTAAAATTTATTTATGTTGGTATCATCTTGTCATCAGATATATGTTTAAGGATTGCAAATGTTTGGGTAATCTTTGAATCATTCTTTAATTTTCTTTAGCTTGGTTTCAGCTATTTGTGGCTTATCAAGTGTATCTGAAGAACTCTGTTCATATGAACGGCTTGTATAGATATGTGGAAACTTTCAAATTTTTAAAAAGAGAAGCAAAATAAAATCAATTCAATTAAATTTGTATAACAATTTCAGGTGGGCAATAAGAATCACGTCAAGGCATCTGAAAAATAAAATAAAAATTGCTCACTTTTTATGTGCATCTTTGTACCAAGTAAAATGGTATGCAAATGTCCCCATGTCTTGATGAAAATTAATCGTCATCATCTCTCTATTCAAAAGTGCACTTATGACATTAGTTGGGGCAGTATTTCTGTATAGATCAGTCTTTAAGAATTGTATTTTCCTTTGTTACAATCGTTGGCCGATATGTCTTCTTCCCCCTATCTGATTTCATCTCCCTTCAGTATTCCCTTTGTTGCTGCTGCATCTTCAATTCTCAAATGCAGTCAGCCGATATCGATCCAAACTGACTTTAATCTATCTTGTACAGTTGTACACTCGGTCTCCTATCTCATATTTTATTATCAAGCCATTTACTCATATCAACATTTTCATCTCTAGCTACCCTCAATTAATAAACTACTATTGAACCCTGATTAATCTTATTGTTGTTTTATAAAATTTTATTTTCTCGAGGAATAAGTATATACGTATTTTTTTTGTCTATGGATTGTAGAGGACTTTAATGATTGTGTTTCTGGAAGGAATCCAAATAGGTCTGTAAATCAAGTCTTCAGTAGTTGGATATTTGTGTCATTGGCAGTCTTCTGACAGCTTCTGTTGCAATGGTTGCAGTTCAAAGAAAGTATTTCACAATTTGCCCAAGAAAATATTGCTCCTCATGCATCAAAAATAGACGAAACAAATTATTTTCCCAAGGTTGTATAAGACAATTATTCCTGGTCTTTGTATATCTATGTACCAATATACCCAAATTTAACTAATTTCATGTTTTCTTACCAGGACGTCAACTTATGGAGACTAATGGGGGATTTTAATCTCCATGGAGTAACTGCTTCAGGTGGAAAGCTTGTTTTGAGCTTTACTTTTCCTTTTGCTTAGTTTGGTTGCTGAGAAATTTATGGGCAGATAAAGACTAATGGGGGATTTTAATATATGTTTGTTTTTTCAACATTACTTGTTAGGAATAAGCTTTTCATTATTTAGGACCTTTCATATACTTTAGTGAACCACAGTTGGATGGGTACTGGAGGGATTTGTAAGGATGTACATCATTTTATGCAGAAATTATGGCTTCTAATAGTGGTTTTAAATAATATTTTTGACATGGCTATCTTGGGATTCTTGGTAGAGAGTGATCCTTACATATAACGTCTTGGCTTAATCATGGAAGCAGTGGTCCATAGAGAATTTTTGTTCCTTTTGTATGAGATTTCAAATTTGCTAATAAAAAGGAGATTAACTTGTTGGCGGACTATAGTACCAAGAGGGGAGTAAGCAAGCTTGAGAGATTTCACTTATATATGTGTCTTTTCGTCCTGTGGTTTGAATCTTTCTTTTCATGTGAGGGGATATCCCTCTCATGGTATTTCTCCTTATTCCCACTTAATGATTACTAATTTCTTCTTAAAAATGCTAGTTTGTAGAAATGTCCTTTCAAGCACACTCTTTACTAAGTTAAAGGAATTTGGATTATGCCTAGCATGTGCTGTATATATCTAATGCTTAACTCTTTTTTTTATTTTATTTGTAGAGGAATACGGTGGACTTGGCCTTGGTTATTTATATCACTGCATAGCTATGGAAGAAATTAGTCGCGCTTCGGGGTCTGTTGGCCTTTCCTACGGCGCACACTCTAACCTATGTATTAATCAGTTGGTAATTGATTTAACTCAATTTTGAATTTTGGTGATGATCGTAATGCTGTCTAATAAGTTATAACATAACTTTGATGATATCTTAGGTGAGGAATGGGAACTCTGCTCAGAAGCAGAAATACCTGCCAAAGGTTTTGCTTCTACTATTTTCTTTGTTTTTCTTCGACCGTATTTTTGGTAACTAGACTTGACTGCTGAAGATATTTTATCTGACTTGAATTATTTCTGTTACTCCAAGTATTATTGATGCTTGACAACGGATCACTTAATTGTATCAAGATGGTCATGAATTTCATATTATTGAACTACTTTTCTTTTATGGTTCAGAATATTCTTTGCAGTCATTGAATGGCATTTAACATTATGTTATGGTCAAAATGAAGTTGGATCGTGACATAATTTGTCATCTTATGTGTTATAATACACTCATTTTAGAGGTTCTTTCCCCAGGACTCATTTATGCTTATTCTTTTGAGCTGCTTCAGCAACTGAAGAGTGAGATGATTTATGATCCATAGTAGTAAAGTTTTAGAATTTTCAGTTTCATAGACAATTTAGGCCTATCAACACTTTTCTTTGGAAGTGTGTCCTTTAAGGAGTTAGCAAACAGGTGAATCCATTAGGAATTGGATTTCTTAACTCATAAATGGCAGTCATTCTGTAACACTTTTTAGTGAGCCCTTATACTATTTCATTTGAAGTCATGACACAAATATCTGTCTTTCCTTGGTAAAGCAGTAATATTAAGTCCATAAAGCCTTGTGCCAAAAAAAGGAAAAAAAAAAAAAAAAAGAAAAAAAAAAAAAAAGAAAAAGAAAAGAAGAAGAGGAAGATATTGGAACCTCTGTACCCTAAAAGTAGGACTATGGTTTGGAATCATTTTGCCTTTGTGACATCACACATTCTTTTTCTTTTCCCCTTTCAAATGAATCTTTTCATCGTCTAATTGTCTCTGGTTTCTTTTGAAGCTAATCAGTGGAGAGCATGTAGGAGCTCTTGCAATGAGTGAGCCCAATGGTAATTCATGTGAACCGTTATATTTATCAAAACTGTTTAAGTTTTCTTTTTTAATTGTAATCTGAATAATCATTTTTGTGTGTCATTCAGCGGGCTCTGATGTTGTTAGCATGAAATGCAAAGCTGATCGTGTTGATGGAGGTTATGTTATAAATGGGAACAAGATGTGGTGCACCAATGGTCCAGTTGCTCAGACTCTGGTATTTTTGAGACTTGATTCCCTTGCATTATGCACACCTATGGTTATATCTCTTTTTTGAATTTCTATATGGTTGTCATATTGTTTTTTAGAAGTTACTTTTATATTCAACCATTATGATGTCATCACTTTAATATCCAGTATTTGTAAACAGAAATTTTATTGTCAATACATGTCCAGAAAAAGAACTCCACAATAGTTACACAATCCATAAGAAGTTCAAGAAAGAGAATATTTTAAGGGAGGGAATGTTTGGAATTTGGTTGTGCTTCATAATGGGTCTACTTGCAACTGCTTAGAGTGAATTTTTGATTGTGTGGAGTCTTATTTTGTGTTTTCTTTAGTTTGTTTTTCTGTTGGTTTAATTTTAATATTTTATCAAGGCAGGGCTGGCTTAATATAACTTGAGGCCTAAGGCATAAACTCTAAAATAGATGTTTATGATTGTAATATAAGTAATAATAATTAACCTTTTTTTTTTTTTTTTGGTAATCATCCTTGTTATTTATAAAGATGAAAAAAATAAAGAGTTGGAATGTTTAAGAGTGTTAATACTTGAGAATAATGCCAAAATATTATACCACCGGGCTTCTAACTCAAGTGGTAATTTCTCTCAAGTAGAGGATTCAAGCCCTCCTGAGGTTATAGTAAGTATGCCAGTAACTTACCTACCAAAAAGTAAATAAATATAAAGTATTTTAAATTCAATCTATTTATATGGACCCGTATAAGAAAATGGAGAGTATATTACACAATAAAGAAAACATATGGATTTAATTTTTTAATTTTATTTTTATGGGGCTTTACTTTCCTTGTATAGCCTTAGGTAATGGAGTTTCCTTATGGGGCCTTAGGCTATGACCTCAATGCCCTAGCAGTCAAGCTGGCTCTGTATCAAGGTTTTCTTTTGTTTAGGAATCAAATGTATTATGGTAAGATCTATATATCCCATATTAGTACAACCATGGGACTTAGTTTGGTTCTAGTTGTATTATTGGGACTTTTTATGTGGTTTTTAGTTGATATAGATAGGTTATATGAGTTGAAAATCCTAAATTTATAATTTCTCAATCAATGTCCTGGACCTCCTGGTAGAAGTAGGAAAAATCCAGCAGGCTATATGAATCTATGTACTATTCCATGCTCGATAGAGCTCAATGCAAAAAATTCTTAGGAACTCGTCTGGGATTCTGTGATGCAATTCTAATCTTAGGCGTGACGCTTATGAGAATCTAATTGCATTACCTATTCTATCCTACTTCTCTTATTCCTCTATTTAATTTTTTTGCACTTTTATGCCTAAAGAAACCCCCACAACCTTTTAACCCTTTTCGATGACCTATTATCAGTCCTAACTTCCAATGAGCCTACCAACCTCTTAGCAACAAGATCTTTTTAATCCACTTTAAAAAACTCCTCTTTATTGTTACCGTACATCAGCTATGGTATCATTGCTAGTAGAAGGGTGTTCCCCACATGTCCTACGTCAGTCAGCATTATAGTAGTTTGACGTCAGGCAGCAATGTTTTGTGCTCATGAATGATTTTATGCCCTGATGCATCTGCATAAGAAACCGTTTCATACTTGTAGGGAATAGGCTCATACTTTTGGAGCATATACATAACATGTTCTATGATGCATTGACAAAGTCATAAAAATTGCTCTCAGATTTCTATAGAATTACTTGAAGTCCCTGACAGTTCTTTGCCTGTTGGTTGACTTTCCACTGTAGTAGTTGGATAGCAGTGGATGCAAACTTGTATTAGAGATGTTACTGACTAATGTACTGGTCTTGTCATTTAAAATGTAAATGAGGTGGGTCATTCTGTGTTATCCAAGCCTGGCGTCATGAGTATATGTAATTTTTTAATTTTCCTAGGTCTCCACTTGACAAGACCGTCTTGCAGTAATTTCGGACAATAAATTGATTGTAGGAATTAGAAAGCCTGATGATGCGGATGAGAAATCCCATTCTTTCATGAGAAAGTGTAGCTGCAGAGTTCAATGATTGGGACCCCCTTAGAATGTTCAATATATTCTCTTTCATAGTTGTCAAATTCCAGACTGATGCCCAGGCGTGTAGGATCTGAATCACCCAGTTAATGGTCACCTGGACCATATAATGTCAGGCGCCTTTTATTTGTTCCAAATCTGTACCTAGGTTTACCTTTTACTTGGCTTTGATACTACTCTTTTAATAAATAGGAGCAATAACTAATAGATAAATAAAGCACATATTTTTTTCCCTGAAAGAATAAAGCACATATTTAGACGTGAGGATCTGAGAGCAGCCACTTTGTGCAAAGTGCCAAATGTTAGGTTTGTCTCCAATCTTTCCCTCCCACTACCTCACACAGACAAAACCAGCAGAGGGTGATGATCTTTCTTTTTTATTTGGACCTGAGAAGTAATCTTTGAACAAATAAATTAGCTAATGGGACCATTGACAATTTTTATTTTATTTTATTATTAATTTTGACCAGTAAAGATGTATTAGAAAGTGTTCAAAAAGGGAACGTATCCCGAAGACTACACAAAGGTGGAAGCCAAAGAAAGAGGTCCTATGGACCCAAGGAACCCCAAAAATCAACAAACTCTATATATTTACAATTTCTCCCCATCACCCAACAAAGAAGAGAGCCAATAATAAGAAATTTCAAAGCCCCAATGGAAGATCAAAAGATCTTCAATTCCGCTCCTTCCAAACGCACCACCAAACATAATAGGGTGCCACCCTCCAAAAATGACGGGCGTGGGCTCCCAAGAAACATCCTCTCCAAGCGTCAATCAATCCCCTCGAAGACCAGGCATGACCCAAGGGACGCCTAAGAGAATGAAGGAATAGAACTTCTGCTTCTTGGCCATAATCTTATGTATTAACATTACATTTATTTGAATGCATGGAATGGAATCCTTGAGGTCATAAGGTGTTGATTATTCGCTGCAGTATTTCTTTTGGTTATTGTTTAGATACCTAAAGAAGTTAGTTCATGCTTTAGAGAACATTTTGTTCCCCCTTCTTGTGAAACTATATAAATAGTGTCTCAAAATTATAGCTATAGGTTGTAAAATTGATTATTTCCTTCCACTTTAATACGACTTATTTTTGGTTCTGTTCTTCTACATGAATTCTTCAGAACTTATCTTTCTAGCTGGATCAGGTTGTGTATGCAAAAACGGATACTGCAGCTCACTCAAAAGGAATCACAGCATTTATCATTGAGAAGGGAATGCCTGGGTACTGCATCTTCTGTTGATAAAATAATAAATGCCAAGAAATGATTATTCTTTCCATACTAAAATAAAGTCAATATAGACTAAACTTTGTTTAAAATGAAACTTTTTCAAATTTTAGTCTCATATGGAAAAAATAAAATAATAATAATAAAATAAGAAGAGTAAAAGGCATTACAATAACGTCGCCTTGGGCGTAGCCAGGCCAAAGAACTGGGTTGTTGGTCATGGGTCCCAGGTAGATGAGCATATACATTAGTTTGAGTACCATTCATATTTCGGAGCCAGTTAACTGGCACTTGTGCGGGTGCTCAAACTGGAAAGGAACACAAGCATGACCGACAACTCATTGGACCGCTGTCCCTATTTGAGTATTACTGTGGGATCTACATAACAGTCAATACTCGTATTAGGATGGCGGTTTTACGGTCATACTGGAAAATCGTCCCTCAAACTGTTAGGTTATCACCTTTGTCTGATCAGATCTTTTTTATTTTTCTTTTTGTTTGACATGTTCCCACACCCATGGCAAATTCAGAGTGTGGTAACAGATGGCCCTGATCATTCACCTTTTTATTCAAATGACGAAGGGTATAGATAGAGGATGTAAGGGGCCTTTTTCATTTTCTTTCTGATGCTCAACTTGTAAATTTTATTTTAATATACTAATTTTTTTAAAAAGGAAATGCAAATGGGTTTTCTAGGTCCAGATGGCAATGGAATCATTTGAGTTTTTTTCTTTCCTCTTCTTCTTCTTCTTCTTCTTTTATATATATATATATATATATATATATTTATTATTATTATTATTATTTTTTGGAGCCAGCCTGTGAGAGAAGTTATACCATAAAAAAATTACTTCTCCAAAATGTTTGCCAATTTTTTATTTTTTTCCTTTGGGGTGATGATGCAGATTCAGTACAGCCCAGAAATTAGACAAACTTGGAATGCGAGGAAGTGATACGTAAATTACTGATCTGCTTTGTACATTGTATACATTTCTTTCTTAAGATGGTCTTACAACTGGGTTATCAACAAAATTGCAGATGCGAGCTTGTCTTTGAAAATTGCTTTGTTCCTGAAGAAAATGTTCTTGGGCAGGAAGGAAAAGGTATCAATGTGTCATGTGAATTTTGATTCTTTCTTCTTTGACATGAGAAAGCATTTCACTCAAGTGATGTTTAATATCTTTACACTTGGTGACAAGTGACAACACATTCATTAGTAGAAATTGATTGCTTCCAGTTTTCAATGACAATGGCAAAACAGTTGGAACTACTGAACTAGAAGCTTTTTTGCTTTAGGCACCGAATCATTTTTTAATTAAAAGAAAAGTAAATTAAAAAGTGCCTAGGGGTTTGATCGTTATGGTATTTGAACAGCCAAACAGAATGAATGGGTTCTTGTTGTAGTTATTGAGATCACCCCTCTTTTGAAATCCTCATGAGGATTCTAACATGACGATGAGCAGTTGCTCATGGGCTTGAATTGATGCCTACAAGGAAGTTTAAAACAGCGCCCTTCTTTTTTTGGAAAAAAAACTTAACTAAAATTTTAGGCTGTTTTTTATTTGTAGTTGGAAAAATAAAAAGGGTTTTTTTACTGCTTAATTGACTACCCTTTCATAGGAAAGTTCAAAATTTTGATACTACATCGTAGGTGGATGTCAATTCTTTTATCAGTAGCCTTAAGATACATTTTAGATAGATATCATATCAAGCTTTATGTTGGTGCCATAACGATTAATTGCTTAATTCGTAAATAGGTCAGTAAACTTTTCTTAAGTTTGTAATACTATCTATGGTGTCTTTTTTGTTCCAGGAGTTTATGTTATGATGTCAGGGCTAGATTTGGAGAGGCTTGTTTTGGCTGCTGGACCCCTTGGACTCATGCAGGCATGTCTCGATGTCGTTCTTCCTTATGTTCGACAGCGAGAACAGTTTGGTCGTCCTATTGGGGAGTTTCAATTTATACAGGTTCATAATTATCTTTCTGCAAGTCAATTTTTTTTTTTTTTTGCTTTTGTTTTTTTGAGTCGTTATGTTGTGTATGTGTGAATTTATTCCTTATGCTGTTCTGTGCAGGGAAAAATTGCTGACATGTATACTTCACTACAGTCTTCAAGGCAAGAGAATCTGATTCCACAGTGCTCCATTTTTTCTTGCTTTATTATGTGGCAGTAATTAATTGCGCTTACTTTTTTCCAGATCGTATGTGTATTCTGTAGCGAGGGACTGTGACAGTGGAAAAATTGATCCAAAGGTGCTACATAATATCATGTTTTCCAAGATTTTGTTGATGCACTTGCTGTTCTTCTTTCCACTATATATATATTTGAACAGTGAATCTATTAGTCCAAAATAATGTTGAATTCGCCCCTCAAGTGGTGGCAGTCTAAGCTTAGGTCCAAGCATAACTGTTTCCATAAACATCTATCACCATTCCACTGGCACTAATTTTCGTTTGGAATGCAGTAATTGAATTGATGATTGGTTTATATATATTATCTAGATGACACAATTCAGTTTTACTGTCACCGGAGGCCTCCTTTTACGTGCAATATGTTTTTGTATAACATTGACATTTTTTAAATTTTTTTATTTATATTAATCACTATGAATAAGGTGATGCCAACTATTGGAACTTATGGAAATGAAGGAAAACCCGACTTTTTTAATAGCATGAAGTTCATTGTAAGCAATCCATGTGCTACATATCAGCATGTTTGCATGAGACGATGATATTTTCCTTCTCGTTCGTTGTGTTGTCTGAAAACTTTGGGATGAATTGCAAAAAAGGGTTAATTTTTCTTGTTAATTATATTGATATTTGACCAATAGTTGAGGAAATATAATATGCACAGGGAGTTCTCATATAGCACATAAGATACCTGAACTTGAACATACAATAACTTCTGTATAAATGCCTTGTTTTAGGATTGTGCTGGGGTTATACTTTGTGCAGCTGAAAGAGCCACCCAGGTTGCTTTACAGGTAAAAATTAAGGCCAACCACTTATGTTTTATATATCTTAATTTTTTACTTTCAATGTGACTACTGATTTCAGTTTTATTTATTTATTTATTATTATTATTTTTTTATGCATATCCTGATGCCTGCTTCGCCTGGGCACACTATTAATTTTAATTTATATCGAACATTGGAAAAAATAGAGTCATATAGACAAATTCAACTAACAAAGTCTGAACTAATCAGCTGGAGTGAGCTAGGCAACGTTTGTTTCCTTCATCTCTTCTTGTTAACTGGTTTTGGCTAATTTTTTTCATACAAGCTGTTAAACTGGCACTGTTCCTTCTATGATTCTATTAGCTTGACTCCGCACCTGTGTTGCATCAACAAATCTGGAATTCTATCATTCAAGAACACTAAACAAATAGATAAGACACCTACAAAATGAGAAATGAAATTGTGAATTATGTTTTGGTCAAGGGTGTCACGTAATGGGTTTGTATTTGATCTTGCAGGCTATTCAATGTCTAGGTGGTAATGGGTATGTGAACGAGTATACAACCGGTCGTCTTCTTAGGGACGCTAAATTATATGAGATTGGAGCAGGGACTAGTGAGATCAGAAGAATGATTATCGGCCGTGAGCTCTTCAAGGAACTGTGATAATAGAAATCGCGCATAATATTTGTGTTGCTGGACCCAAGCATCAAAACCTTCCTGCCGCGGATTCTCAATATCTTTTCTGTTGCCGAGATTGCGTCTGATTCTGATTTGCAGATTGACTTAGCTTGCCTCGGGTGTCAGCCATGCCCTACTCTTTGATACAAATAATTCTAGTCTCATTTTGAAATGCAACTAAAGAACAGGTAAAGGATCCCGAAACAAATGTATTATCTTGTCGATTGAATTTAGCTGGCCAAATAAAATTTCTACAGTTTATCGGTTGTGGTTATGACACAAGATATTTTTTAAAATCTTTTTTCGTAAATTTTTTGTTTAGTTGCGCTTGTCTTTCTTTACAACTACCGTTGGTTTGGGGATGAAGATACTTTTCTTCAGCAGTCACTTTTTTTTTTTACCCTTAAAACTTTAAACTAAATTTCTAAAAACTGTACGGGTAGGGTTCCCGAATTTTTTTGAACCGTTTTCTTTTGCGGGTTGTGGATCCGGGTTGTAGACGCTTGTAATTCAGGGTGTTTGTGATGTATTTAGAGAACACTAACGTTTTAGAGTGAGAGGCTAGGGTTTGGAGGCTTAATGTGGTATTCTTAGTTTGTGGCGTTTGTTACATATAACAATAAGGAAAGAAAATATAAAAAAACACACATATAAGGTACTTGACAATACTGCAGAGAATCATATATATTATATTAACCCCAAAAAATTCTTACTGCAATTAAACATAGCACGACCATATGTATTACCATCAACTAGAACCCTTACCACCTAATAATTAAACCCTAACGCCAAAATTAAACCCTAACGCCATTAAAGTCTGAAGAAGAAAAAAAAAAAGAAAAAAGAAAAAAGAAAAAAGAAAAAGAGAAACTAGTATTGCAGCATATAAAAATGACTGCTCAAAGGCTTCCTCTTCCTCTGGAGAGTAATCATTCTCTATATTAAAAATCTTACGAACATTCTCCGGAGTCTCGTCTTTGATCCTGTCGGGCGATTTTCTGATTGAGGATGTCTAGTAAATCCTTGATGTTCAGCTAGTTGGCAGCCAATACGAGGTAACAGGGTTCGGGCATGGATTTCTCAACGAACTCGGAATCAAACTTCTTTCGATCGACTTCAGAAGCTGTGGAGTCGGCGTGCTTCGTTTACTAATTGTTTGCATGACATGTTTTCTTTCCATTATGGATTTGAAACCCTAATAAGCCAATGGAAATTGGTGGTTGAGTCCAATTCGGACTCTCCAGTGGACTCAGCGGATGCATTCAAGTATTCAACTAACCTTAAAATTGTACGTAATTATTCTGCAATAAGACATCTTTTGATTCCGGTAATCTAATACTGAATCCAAAAATAGTACACTTGTAAACGGGTCGAATTCAGACATCTGAATCCGGTAAGGATACTCGATTCGATCCGATAATCCGCCGAATATTTTGTAAATCAATTCATATCCGATTTGTTAGTAAACGAATATCTGATCCGATAAAGCTGTGTGATATATATATTTTTTTAATGTCAAAAGAGAATAAAAATTAATGTCCAAAGAGAATAAAAATAATAAAAAAGAAAGATAAATAAAATATGAAAAAAGAAAATTAAATCTTTATAAGTGTTTGTTAAAGAATAAAAAAATGGGGAATAAGAAAAAATTGAGAGAGTAAAGAAGGAGAGAATAAAATAATGATAAGAATATTTTGATAATATAGAAATATTATATATGTTTAATATATTATATAATATATTATTTAGGATCAGATTGTCCATAATCTATATCCAATTTATTTAGGTAACGATTCGGATCGTTATCGGGTTATCAAATTAAATCTTTAACTCATATTTGAATTATTAAATCAGATTCAGATCAAAATTCGATTCATTGACTTGTCTACTTGGGAGTCGGACAGGCCTTTCCACGCGCAGCGGTAAGTGGGTAAATCTGTACCGCCTGAGGTTTATCCAATATTTAAATTCATGTTTTACCAAACTGACGCAGTGGGCATTTGGTCTAGTGGCATGATTCTCGCTTAGGGTGCGAGAGGTCCCGAGTTCAATTCTCGGAATGCCCCAACAACAAAACTATTTTTTTTTTTTTTCCCAACTTTCTTTCATCGAATAAATAAAACACATTGAATTTTCACATTTATGACAATCCAACATTTTTTTTTTTCATGATTTACAAAAAATTTCAGAGAAATAACAGAGGCATTGAATTTTCACATTGAATTTTCTTGTTCTAATAAATATATTGACTTTACACACCAAAGCGCTAAATCAAACACACCGAAAACACTTCATATTGCAATTCATTACAAAAGGAAACTAAACAAAAGGCCCAAACAAATACAGGGTAAAAACAACCACAATTGGAAGAGCTCCAAAAATAATTTTCAGTTTTGGACTTCACAGAAATGACTTCTTTATCAACAGATTTTGATGAAGTCGATTCAATCCTTTTCGGCTTCAGATTGCTCCAATGGCTGTTCCTTCAAATCCTCGTGTTCTTGATCAACAGCACTACCGGCAGCATCACTCTTGCCGCCTTTTACACCACCCGAATCCACCACCCCTTCTGCATTGCTTTCATCCCTTATTAGCCCATAGCTTCGAGACACCTCTGTCCACTCCAGCTCTGTAGATAAGTACTCATGTCGTGCCATATATCGTTTAAGCTCGACACGAAGACTTCGAATGGGCTAACAACAATAAGTTTTTTAAAGTAAATAAATTAGTGAATATAATTGAGAAAAATAAAAACTTGACATGGAATCATAATGCATTATGCAAGTTTAAAAAAAAAAAAAAAAAAAAAACTGCTTTTTTGCAATTAAAATGATCGAGTTTGTATTCATTTGACCACTCCAAACACATTGCATTGACAACACTAAAACTGGGTTTTTTTTAAATAAAAAAAAAACCCAGTAAAATCAGATCAAATCGACTCATGCTCCGTAAACAAAAGTGAATTTCAACTAGAGTGGATGAATATGAAGTTTTTATAATATTCGACATGACTAAAATTGGGGATGACATTTTAAGGTCTAATCACATACACTCATGCCAAGTTTTGGTTCTCAAAAAAATACTCAAATAAAATTTACTTTCAATAAACAACTAATAGTTCATAAAATAAACATCAAACATACTATTTAACATGTTTTTGCCTACAAATTCATTAATTGAAAACCATGGTTTTTATTAAAAATATGAGTGATTAATATAGAAATTGAAACCTCAGCTTTAGATTCAAAGGCGAGTCGAAAGAATGCAGCAGAGACAAAATGCTTGCCCACAGACTCCGCCAATTTGATCTGAGCAAGCCAATAAGACGAAGTCTCGAGCCTATCAAACCTGCACTTGCTACATTTCTCCGCACTGTGGTAAGGCGTTCCTGAACCTCTGGTCTTGATCAAACACGGTGACCTCACCGGAGTCTGAGGCCCGACAGTACCTCCCTCCGGAGAAACCTTTGCTGGGTTTTCCACGACATTCTGTTGAAAACACACACTTTTCTTCTTGGGTTCTGCTCTGTTTTTCTCAGGGGATTTCTTTTCCGCAGACTTGGTTTCTACATTGGCTGTGGTTTGGGCTAATTTGGGTTGTTTTTGGGAAATCCCAATTGAGGGTTTTGTTTTAGGCTTTTCGGTGGCTGTCTTTGCTGGTACGTTAGGGTTTCGAATGGTACCGAAGATTCGCTTTTGCCTGAAAGAGAGAAGTCATGAAAAGATCGTCTTTATTTTATTGTGAATGCAGATGAGAATTCAAGTAGATAAAAGGGACAATTTTTGTTTATTTTTACCTGTGAATGGGTGGTTCTCTTGCATTGATTTTTGGTGCTTCTGTGATTCTTCTGTTGGTTTTCGATTTCAAGGGTCGAGATTTACCTTTTTTCAGACATTTGAAGAAAAAAAAAATTAGTGATGATTCACGGTGTGTGTATAATGAAATATAGAGTAATTATGAACTTGAGATTCAAACAGTTTGAAAGAATCTATACCTGGAAATGGTGTAGCATGGATTTCCATTCCAAGAAATCAGTTTAACTATTGAATTTTGAAAATTGAAGCAAAACCCCTCTCTCTCTCTCTATCTCTCTCTCTTTATTTCTCTCTCTCACACACAATAAAGAAAAGCAGTTGGAGTGCTTTTGTTTTGAAGTTTGAATTGAGAAAAGGCGGGAACAGGTTCTGAAGTGGGGGTATAGGCGCTCTCTGTGGGACCCATTGGGCCAAAATTCGTTGATGCCCATGAGTAATGGGCCAGGCAGGCTTTTTTTTTTATTGGCCCAGATATATTGGCACATACTCTCACGCATGCATGAAGTTGGTAGTTTATGTGAAACGAAGGGAAAGTTGGAGCCGCTTAAAATAAAGTATTTTTAACCCAGCGTCAGCTACAACCTTACAATTGTCAACAATAAAGTCAAACAATCTTTCTTAGGTCGTCGCTCTCGTGCTCCATATACGAATTGGCGTTGTAAGAATAATAATAATTTTTTAAATCACGAATTCAATTGTTAAATATGTGACATTCATTATTGATGGCAATAACCAAATTTGCTTATTACTGAATAAAAAATATTAGAAATGTGAAAAATAAATATACATTCTTAAAAAATAATATCATTACCATATTTAAGTATAAAAATATTTGATGTGTGTGCACAGTGTATAGGCAGATATATTTGCAAACAAAATATATATACACTTTTATTTCTACTTTTAGTTAAGATGCTTATTAGTTTATAATTCTTTAAAGTAATATGAAAATTTAAACAATCTCTTTTTAAGAATCTAAGATAAATATATGAATTTCTCCGGTCACATTTCTGTAAAAATCGAAAATATTATATAATTTTTGTATTTTAATTACTATTAATATCATATATCTTTTAATATAAAAGAAATAAGGTTACATATAGTTCAAACACATTTTTTATTATATATGCATAATACTGTATAAGTGTGCAGGCGCTTTGGAGATGCACCCCCTGGACCAAATTTTAGATTTTGCCACTTTTGTTCTCCCGTTTTCATTACCGCTTCCGTTTTGTGTGACTTAGGACATGAGTGTGTCGAAACCACAGTTATGAGTGTGGGGCATACCACAACAACCCACACCTCACGTTATCGGTTTATTGTTGATTCTCAACAAGTTTATAAATTTTATTATTATTTTAAAGAGTTTAAAATCCATCATTTTTTGAACAATAATTTTCTTTTTTTCATATTTATCTTCCATAGCTTTAAATTGAGTTTGTCGACTTCACTAACAAAGCTTTAGAAGAGTGGCTGGACAGGGCTTCTAGTGGGATTAGTTTTAGGGTTAAGTGCAAAAAACCCTCTTGAAATATAGGGTTTGTGTAGAAATAGTACACACTTTTTAAAAATGTGCATTTCAGTCCATAAAATTCAAAAAAGGTGACCACTTTTTGGTCAAAATTGACATAAAATAAATTCAAAAACCCTATTTTGCCCTCAGGTTAAGTGCAAAACCCCCCCTTTACTATGATATGGTGCAAAATAGTCCATGTGTGGTATAAAACCCCCCTATACTATCAATTTGGTGCAATTACCTCCATGTTCACATAAAAAGACATTAATACCCTCTCTAATATAAATGAAATAATATTAAAAAAATTAGGCAATGTAAAATTACCATTTTAGATTATCTATTCTTTTTTTTTTTCTTTTTTTTTTTTTCCTTTGTATTTGATTGATTGATTTGTAGGTTGTGGTGGTGGAGGGTTCAGAGGCTGTCGAGGTGATGGAGGGAGAGGAGGAATGGGCTTCGGAGGAAGAAGAAGCCTCGAAGGCCCCAGAGGTGGTGGCGGCTTTAAAAGTCGTGGTGGCGGTAGAGATGATGGAGGGAGAGGAAGGGGTAGAAGCGGGCGCGATAGAGGTGATGGAAGGAGATGGGGAAGGGGCTTTAGAGGAGGAAGAAGCCTGGGAGGCCAAAGAGGTGGCGGCAGCTTTAAAAGTTGTGGTGCCAGTAGAGGTGATGGAAGGAGAGGAAGGGGCAAAAGCGGGCACGGTGGACGTGGTGGTGGAATGAAGGGAGGGAGTAAAGTAGTGGTTGAGCCTCATAGCCATCGCAGAGGCCCTCATCGCCACCGGACTATACTTGGCCAACCCTACTGATCTCTTCCTCAGAGGCGACAGAACCATTCTCGTCTGGAACTACCTCATGAGGTTCACCGTCCTCCGTCTCATCGTTGTAGAATGAGACCTCAAATTTTCAGCGTTAACCAAACTCCAGCGGCAAGCTCCCATCCTTACTAGACGACAAACACCAATAGATCTAGACCCTTCTCATCAATTGCCATCATCGATGACACATTAATGGCATCCCGAGCTCGCCGTCCTTCACCGTCGCCAACAGTCACAACTGCTGGGTTTGTGATGTGGCTTTATTTGATGACACACTGAGTTAATTCAACAAATCGGCGCTGAACTTTGGCTATGGGGTTGAATTGAATGACCAAAATAAACATAGTGATGGTGGTGGTGGTAGAGCGCAGTTGAGAAGGGTAGAATAGGAAAAGAAAATGGCAAAATAGGGTTTTTGAATTTATTTTATGTCAATTTTAACCTAAAAGTGGTCAGATGGGCTTATTTGTACTTTTTTTTTTTTTTTTTTTTTTTAATAATTTTATGGATTAAAATGCACATTTTCAAAAAGTATGGACTATTTCTATACAAACCTTATATATAAAGGGTTTTTTTTGCACTTAATCCAGAAATTTATATTAGAAAGGGTATCAATGTCTTTTTATGCGAATATGGGGGTAATTGCACCAAATTGATAGTATAGGAGGATTTTATACCACACAGGGATTGTTTTGTACTATATCGATAGTAGATGGTTTTTTTTTTGCATTTAACCCTTAGTTTTAGTTCCAATGTTCAACTTTAATTCAGCCCCAGCATGAGTGCCTCTATAAATTCACTACTTGTATTCCTAAACTTACACTATTAATTTGTTCTCTAGTACAAGGGGTGAGCAAATAATCCGTCAATTTGATCCGAACCAATCCGATCTGTGTGATTTGGTTTGGTTTTCAGATCTCAAGGTTCGGTGATGGTTTAGAAATAAGCAATCTACTATCCGCGGTTCGGTTAACGGATTGAGTCTTGAAAAAACCAATCTGAACTGATCCGAACCGTTGCCTATATAATATATTAATATTATATATATATATATATATATATATATATATATATATATATAACTATATATATACAATATACAATATTAAATATACTTAGTGTATTTCTATATTTTTTTATTCATTATTTTATTTGGATAATTTATATTGCCTATTATTAAGTATATAATTTACAAATCTATTGCTGTTATTTGGTATATGATTTACAAATTTTATCGGTATTACTGTTAGCATGTTACCTGGTATATGATTTACAAATCTATTTTATTTTTCTAGTTTTAATTACTAATTTTTAATTACTAATTTGATATTTTAATGGCCATAAAGTCTAATTATATTGGGTTATTTGAAAAACTCAATCTGCCCAAACTGATCCGATCCGATCCATTATTTCACGGATCGGTTTGGTTTGGATTGAAGGTTTCCACGGATCGGTTCGGTTTCAAATTTCTCTAATTCATGAGGACCGGTTCGGATTGAATTTTACCCCAAACCGAACCGATCCGATCCATAATCATCCCTGTAAATGAGCATTAACTCATTCAGGAAAATAATAATAATAATAATTTATTAGAATTTTTCACCCAAAAAAAAAAAAAACCGAAGACCTGGTCATAAAAAACATGTTACTTGGTGATTGACTGAAGTTATAGATTTAAACCGGAAAAGAAAAGAATAAAAAATATTGAGTTAGGATGGAAATTTGCTGAGTTGAATTGTCAAAATTATCTAATGGTTGTAACCAATAATATTGTAATTAACAAATTTATGACGGGTTTGAATGTGTGCAATCAAATTATTTATACTTATTGGGTTGGATGAATTTTATTCAATTTATTAATGTGGCCTTAATAAAATTGAAATTAAATATAAAATTAAATTAAACATTGTGTGACTCTTACTTTTGAACATGTATTTTAATCATAACTTTTGCATTTAAACACTTATTTTAGACCTATTAAGCCACATCAGCAAACTTGAATCAAACCCAAGTATTATTGTTATTTTACCATCACATTCGACGACCGGAAGGTAGGTGCAGTGTCTCGTGGAATTCTAGAGCTTCTCCTATGGTCAAATTTTCCGACCTGAAAAGTCCAAAAATAACAGTCTATAAAAGTTGGACCAGAGTTACCATTTTCTTTATATTTTTTATTATTATTATTATTATTTGTTTTTTTGTAAATTCAACCCAACAAGAGTAAATTTATTGAATGCGAGTTCCAAAAATAACCATCAGTCTGTAATATACTGATCGAGTCGTTGTCATAATAGTTTTTGTCTTGGACAAAATAAAAGTTGGAAGTTCCTTTCTCAAAGATAACATCAATGGGTTGACTTTGAGGTACAGTTCCTAAGAAACTACATATAATTAATTAGTAGTTGTATATAACCTCCTTTTGAGACTGAAATTTTTAAATTTTTTTTAAAGCAGAAAATAACTTGGTTATTTGCACGGTATAACAGACGTATCTAATTTAAAAGAGACCGTTTCAATATAACTGAGAGTCTTAGGCAAAAATAATTAAAGTCGCCTTTTAATATTTGAAATATTAATATAATTTATTAGTTAATAATTTTTATTTAAAAAACATTGTTATTGTTTTTTGAAATACAAAGTTACTAATTAGTTGACTTGATTGTTCATTTTATGGTTTTTCACTTAAATTGTTTGTTACGTTTTGATTATTAGTTGTAACATATTTATCAATAATACTTTTTAAAGATTGAATTAATTAATTAATTTTTTCCCTTTTTAAAAGTTCTTCATATCCTTAATATGAATAAAAATCGTTACAACAAAATATACATTTTATACAATAACAAATATCTAATGAGAAGAGATAAGCATAAAAATAATAATAAAGAAACAAAAATTAGAATTTCAATAAAAACAATAGATAATTAAAGAAAAATTAAGAGTAGCATTAAAAATAATAA